AAATCCATCTTCATGATGAAAGCACCATTTAGCATCCACTCTGGAAGCGCGCTCGTTCATTTATTTATGAGATGCTACTTTCTGTAGACAAAGAAAATCTCTTCCAAAAATAGGAGTGCCATATTCTCAAGGCATACTGTGTATTTTATTTTTGTAACCAGTAAATGTCAAACAGTATTCACACACAGCATTGACGCATTAATGTTTTCATTCAACAGTGCAGATACCTTTCCTCGTTACATTATATATTTATGGCACACAGAGCTGTCAAATAAATTATGTCAAAGCAGCTAAAATCAGACCTTGTGACACTTGAATCATAGAATCAGGGCAAATAACCTTTAAAAAGAAAGACATATTATGAGAATTAGAAACATTTAATTTGCATAAATATAATGTTAACAGTCTTTTCCTTATTACATATTTTATGCCTAATTTGTAATTGTCACTATGTTCATTTCTTTACATCAGTTTGCACTCAATTTTTTTTCCTCATTGATTGCTTTGTTTTAGACTGTGTGAAACAAATTCTGCAGGAAGCATGTGATCAGATCCACATTTTAACATATCCCAATTAATACATCTTAAATTTTGAGGGAAAAAAACTCTTATTTCACATAATGTAACATCTAGCACTTAGAATTAATTCCTAAAAATATCTGAAAATTCCTGAACACATCAAGCAAATGAAATCAACAATATCTGAATGTTTTCCCATAAAGTGCAGAACATACAAAAATTTGCAACACTGAAACAAGGATTTTCATAATGTACTTGATTCACACCCTTTGAATTAAGGAATATAAAATCTGAGCATTGTGTACACATACAGGAAGCAGAATGAATACGTAGTCTTTCAGAATTGCTTACTGCCCGGAGTTCCTGTTGCCTTCACTAGGTGAAGCCATGCAGAACAGCATGCTTGGAGAGCAGACACTTCCTCAAGCCTCTCAAACCTTCAAAACCAACAAGAAGCAAGAGAGCTCAGCACTTCTCAAGACTAGGCTCTTCTAATGCTGCTCAGTCTTAGGCACGCAAGCACAATTAATAAGACTTTGCATTCATCTGAATCGTCCCTATGGTTATCTAGGTAAATAAAGCCAGAATGTACAAAGATGAATGTCTGTCTCAAGAGAGCAGAATAACAACACTCCGTTGTTCTTACTGGCTATGACTCATCTCAGTTTTCAGAATGATACCTGGGCATTTAATGCTAACTGCTTTGTGCAGTCTCTTTGCTGCAGGGTGTGTTTGGCTCACTTGCCCTCCTGACTCAGAAGAACAAACGTGGAATCATAGAATCACCAAAGTTGGAAAAGACCTCTGAGATCATCCAGTCCAACCATCCACCTACCACCAACAGCTCCACTAAACCATGTCCCTCATGTCTAGATGTTCCTTGAACACCTCCAGGGTTGGTGACTCCATCACCTCCCTGGGCAGCCCATTCCAGCACCTGAAAACTCTTTCAGAAAAGTAGTATTTCCTAATGTCCAGCCTAAATCTCCCCTGGTGCAACTTGAGGCCATACATAATGTAGCTAATGGGAAGCTTGAGATACATTCCTACCTATATACAGACTACTATTTCCTGATGAACTTGAGAAAAGCCAGTGGACAGTCTATACAGAAGAGTGTTGAAGTTGTTACTAAATTCTGTATTAGGTTGAAATTGATACTAAAATCCAGCTGTAGAAAACTTCTATTGAACACTGAGGAAAATGGAAACCATTTTGAATAGCAGTAAATTTTTTTTAATTTGATGCAGAGTTGCCAAGGATTTCATCAAGCATTGACATTACAAATAATTTTAACAGCATCTGTATTAATGTTAACAAGATTATTCAGAACAAAATTGAAGGCCTCTTGGTAGGTGTTATCTTTTCTAAAGACCATGTTTTAACAATTTTATTAACCAACGTATCTCTAAATTTTCAGAAAATGCATATAACTATCAAAGAATAAATACTGAACTTAATAGAAAAGATAACTTTTATTTATTTATTCAGCTTTTAGTTAAGAAGAGTTCTCCATTCAGCTGACATACAATTGATTCCTCTACAATGAAAGTGCAATGTAAATAGTGCCTGAAGTGTTCATAAATCACTAAGACTGTCTGAACAATTTAATAATTAAATGTTATTGCCTGTTATAACCTGTCAAAGTCATTTGCAATCAACTACTGCATCTGACATGAATGCACTTTGGGCAACAAATAAAACTTACTTCTTACATGATCAAATTCCAGCACTGACCAAACAACAGCTCAAGCTGGAAATGCAAATGACTGTGCTGAAAAGAAGAAAAAGTTTTGGAAAAATATGACAAGTTTTTCCTCTTCAATCTAAGCTAAAGAATATCCATGGCACTGAAAATATAGCAAACCATTATAATAACTCATGACATCTACTACTGAGGGAGACAGTCCAAACAACATACATCTGCCTTCTTTCAACAAATAGTGCTCCCACTGACCTTGGCAGGCATAAAAAATTTTACAATAACCAAAAAATTGAAGGATATGTTAGCTGTGTTGTGATGCTGTCACAGTAAATAGCTGTCTTGAACAACGAGAAAGGTAAATAACTCCACCAGAAACAAAGTATGCATTGGTATATGGCTGCACCAAATATAATGTATCAATTATAACATTGTGCTTTTAAGAAATTCTAATGTCTCATTATTCCATGCACAAAACTACGGATGCATTACAACTAATTTTATAATAGAAGATATCTAAAAGAATATATCTTACTGTTAAACACATTCAGTACCCCACATCTGCTTTCTAATAATTTGTCTCTAAGTGTGTATAAGAGTATTATAAAAACCACTGTAGATCAACGATAGGAACAATCTCTGAGTGATGGCAGTGGAAAGATCTTTTGTTCTGAATGGCAGATCTGTCATTACTGAGTGCACTAAACATAAATGGCATATGGAATAGCATCTATGACATCTCCTTGAGAAAAAAAAAGCTAACAAGAAACCATGGTGTAGTTCATTCTGCATATGAGCTGGTCAAACTATCCACACTGGATGGGTTGGCATCACACTTCACTCTGTTCGGTGAACTTGCTGCATTTCTAAATTGTGAGAAACAGAAAACAAATTATTACAATGTTTTCGTAGAAGATCAAGAAAATTTGCAGATGAAACAGTGCTTGTTTGAAATTGTTTGAAATTGCCACCATTAAGAAGTCTTGCAAATCAAAAAGTTATTCATGACGAAGATGAGTGGCATAAAGCAATAGATATGTCTCTTATCAACTTAGAAATGAATATGGCACGACATTGACCTTGGATGTATGTAAGAGTATCTTTGTCTTCCTGAATGCATCAGAGATGCAAAGGAACCACCAAGTCCTCTTGCCTCTAGCTTTCTTCCACTGAAATTCTGGTGTGAGGGGATCAGAAATGGAAACCCAGACAAAACACTTTCCATAAATCTCCATTACCTGCTCTTTTGTATCCCATTCTGCCACTTCTTTTCTCAAAGTTCCTGCTGACCTCAGCATCTTGACCCCAGTTACAGCACGGTGCTGCTAGTGAGATCACCCTGCCACTTTACTTCTGCCCATCTTTTTTTATCTTCTGATGTGAAAGGCAGTGAACACATTGAGAAACCAAACCACATATCTTAAACACTATAAAGAGGCATCAGCAGCATACTAATGTTTATATTAATTACACTCAGAATTTCAGAATATATGCAAGTCTTTCAGACTGCACCACTTCACCAGTTTGCTTATCAGGTGAGGTAGTAGCACGTTCTCAGGTCATGGCAAAATGGACTTGAGCTCCTTTTTATTTTCAGTACTTCTCCTGGCTTTTCCATTCCCCGTTCCCATAAAATGGGAATACCAGCTATTTCACAGGAACATTAGAAAGCTTACATGGTGTCTATAACGAATCCAGATCTTTTATAACATGACAGTCATCCTAATTCATCTAATCAGGCCCAGACAAAATATACAATAGCCATCCCCATTATTTTTATCCTGCAGTTACCATTTCAGTTTTGGTTTGTTTTTTTTTTAATTTTTAATTTTTGCAGAGCAACAAAAAGAAAAGTTGAAAAGCACTGAAGAGAACATAAAGATGGACAGCGCCAAATCACCTTATCTAGTTAAATCAATGAAAAATGATTTTTTTTTTTTGTCCAAGGGCAACTCTAATTTTACTAGTAACACATGCCAGATCACAGTAAAGGGCATGAAAAGTGAAAACAAATACCGCAAATCAGAATTAGTTTAATATCTCTTGAACAGGGTTCTGAAAGGAGCTCTGCTCTTGTTTGGAATTATAAATACAACCACAGGAAAGCACACTGCTTATAATGCACGCTCAGTTACACAGAGATTACAATCATAGAATCACCAAGGTTGGAAAAGACCTCTAAGATCATCCAGTCCACCTATTATTATATTTCCCACTGAACATTAGAATGGAAAAGACTCCATGATAAGGAAGGCCCGGGTTTATAGTCTTTTAGCAAGGATTGCAAGACTTATTGTCAAGCAAATAAATATATGAGCAAATGCACTTTCAAGCCTCAAGCCTCAATTTCTAAGACAACCTTTTTTCTTCCTTCTCCCTCTAGCTCTCCCTTCCACCACATAAAGTTCCTCTCTCCTCTTCCCACCAGTGAGCCAGCACTGCACTCTGCACTGCAGGGCAGACATAAGATTAATAGCTCCAAACAAGCCTGCCAAAGTGTTTTGTTCAGTCTAGCACAGTGCCCTTCAGTTTTATCTCACTTATCTCTTAGCACATGTGCACCTTATGGCCACGTTACTGTGCTAACAGAGGTGCTCTGCTTTAAGCAACACAGGTTGAGGAACAGTGTTGCTTTGCAATGCATGACAGAGTAGAAGATAATTTGCCTCACCAAGAGGCTGTGCTGGTTATGCTGAGATGTCATTATGCTTTCCAGTGGAACATGCACTCAGATTAATGAAAAACAACACACCTCTGGATCCAGCATAGAAGACTGAGGAGTTACTGCCAAAGGAGAGAAGGGGGCAAGAAGAGAGAGCAGGCAGGAAAAACGTGGTAAATGCAATCCACAGACTGAGGACTGGTTGCAGAGTATACAGATAAAATATTTCCGTACAACAGGTTCACCGAATATGTGACATTTTCCCAAATGAAAGCTTTATCAAAGCTCAGTGAGCACCCGAGGAGCCCCCAGACCTCCCCTACCCCTGCTGTAAGCCTCACCCTGGAAATCTGACTGGCATCGATTGCTGAAGAAATAGAGTCAAAGAAGATGGGGTTTTCAGATTCGAGATTTCCACCATACTGCATTGCTTTTATCAAGGAAGCTGCAGCAAAACAAACATATGAGCACTGATAAAGTAGCAAGAATATATAAATGTAACATTAAAAATTTTGCTGTAAGTTGATACTTGCCTTTGCAGCATGCGAGCAACACTTCAATGTGTCTGCTTTTACAATCCATGTAAATCTACAAATGTGAAAACGTGGAGAAAAAAAAAAAAAAAAAAAAAAAAAGATTTTAAACACCAACACCATACCCACCAAGAACATACTCAAATAGGCAGAGCACGGCATGCTGCTGTTCAGGCTATGCTGACAACAGCCACCAGAGAGAGCCCCTCCATAATACAAAGAGCACCGAATCACGTTCAGCAGGAAAGCATCATTTCTTCCCTCGTTTGCAAAGTGCTCTACAGCTTAGCTGGTAATAAAAATCAATCTGATCAAAATCTGATTAATAATGTACCATTTAAAATAACGTTATTATGAATTTGTTTCCAGTATGCCTTTTTCTGCAAGTTTACCCATCTCTTTCCCACAAGCTTACCTACCAGCCCACAAAGCCAATTATTGGACCTAGGGAAGAGTTGTATACTCATAGAATCCTTAGAGTTGGAAAGGACCTTGAAAGGTCATCTAGTCCAACTTCCAGCATCTATCAAATAGGTACCATAGCTAGCATGCCACATTCTGCAACAAGTTGTTCTTTATTCTTTCTCTGAAAATGTGCAGTTTCACAGAGACTAGGTATAAGCTAGAAAGTGATAAAAAATGAAAATAACTCTAGAAGAAGAGTAGGGCCTTTTTTTGGCAGATGAGGAAGCATCCAAAGCAAAATAAAAATAAAAATAAAAATAAATAATAAAAAAAACAACCTTAACTAATCCATGCGAAGTGGAACAACTGGAAAAAGAGAAGTGATTCAATGAGAACATCATCAGTATAACCTACTTTAAAAAGGACCCAGAAGCCCGTTCCACACAAAAAATCCCTCTAACTCCAGCGGCAGTGATGATATTCAGGGAAGGACTGTAAAACATTGAGCGCGTTCCTCTTATGGGTAACACAGTTTTGTCATTAAGCCACCTCCATCTATGCCATAGCACAGCATGGATTTTTGTCCCACAAATTTGTCTAATTCCTTTGATTTAATCCATAGTTCTGAGGTCTCATAGATCTTTTGCAAATCAGTTGACAAACTTTTTTTTTTTCTACTAATTTTATTGAATGCACTTTTTTTGAGGGAAGAAGTAATAAAGAGTAACTCTTACTCACCTTATTTATTCGTACCAGTTTTCCTTCCAACTATGTCCCCACATATACACTTATTTTTAATTTAACACTTTTTTTTTTTTTTTTTAATTAATCAATTCAGCAAACTGAGAAAACACTTAGGATAAGAAAAGGCTTGGGCTGAAACACAACTTCAGATTTTTGTGCTCATTGCTGCCTTCCAGTACCTAAAGGATCCTACAAGTGTAGATAACAGGACAAGGGGAAATGGTTTTAAGTTGAAGGAGGGAAGATTTAGGTTGGATGTCAGGGGGAAGTTCTTTACAATGAGAGTGGTGAGATGCTGGAACAGGCTGCCCAGAGAGAGGTTGTGGATGCCCCATCCCTGGAGGTGTTCAAGACTAGGTTGCATAGTGCCATGGGCAGCCTGGTCTAGTATTAAATGTGGAGGTTGGAAACCATGCCTGTAGCAGCGCGGGGCTTGATTATCCCTGAGGTCCCTTCCAACCCAGGCCATTCCATGATTCTATGATGATTAAAATCTAATATTCTATCTTAAACAGAAAAATTACATGAACACCCAATTAAATCTGTACCCACTGTAAATCTATTAAATGCCAAACCCGATGGAAATAGCAAGTAGCTTTTGAACATATTTTTTCATTTGCTGTATAGTGCTGATCATTATGTTGTTGCTGTTCTTGGTCATATGGGAGCTTCCTGGACCTTCTGTCATGCCTGAGGAACCCAGCCTGCTAGGTATGTATGTCACAGAATAGAACATGGAGATCATTAAGACCTCTGGCTTAGCAGAAAGTAGGTAATAGAGATAAACTCACAGAAATAAAAACTGAAATTTTAAAGCTGACTGTGTGATGTGACATAAATCAGCTTTAAAATTACAAAACAAACAAACAAACAAAAAAAAACCAACACAAGAACGACCCACGAAAAAAATACCAGCAAAGAGAGAGTTTTCTGAAATGCGACTCCATTAAATAAAAATCATTGGTGTATAATTTTATACAAACACAGTTCAGTATCAAATCTCTGTTCATCTCTTTCACAAGTTACCCCCTTTATCCACTGTAAGTTGGATGACTAGTAGCTGACTTGAATAACTTGTGTGTGTATTTATGTATTTTAATGTACAGAAAGTATCTGGTATTACTAATACCTGAAGCAACATGGAGACTCCAGTGTAATCAAAGAAATGCAGTCCACTGCAGTCCAATATCAAAATGCGTCGCTCACTCTGACATGGCTGCAGTGATTCACCTGCACATTTGATGGAAGAGAAAATTTTAATTACCAGGGATAAGTCAAAAAATGCCTATTAGAATTATGAAAGTTAAACAAAATGAGCCCAAAACATCATAGTAAATTAGTCTATTGTGTACTGGGATATGCATTAAGCAAATTGCACTGTTTAAAAGCACAAGCGAAGTACCATCAGAGCAATGGAATGAGGAATACGTTATTAGCAAGATGTATTAGACAGAAACAGTCTCTCAAGGACAAAAAAAAGAAGTTTGTCTTCACATTCAAATTTCTAAATGAGCCTGACTTGTTTGGGAAAGTTCACGTGGGATTCACAGAGCAAATATCTCTTGCAGATTCTGATATTGAGTTCATTTCTGTAGTAACTAAACACTTTCTTCTGCTTTAACTAATATTCTCCTATAAGGAAGACAAGTCTGTAAAGTGGAGTGTTTCATTTTCCCTGTTTTTCGTTTGGTTATTTTTCACATGCATACGCTATCACATATTGATGCTAGAGAAAAAAATGTAAGATTTGTGAAGGTCTTCTTATATTCATTCTTCAGCTCCTGGCCACCGTGTGCTTAATCTAAGCACATACACATAATTTTTAATCTAAGCACATACTATAGTAAGTGTGTCCTGAACTAGCACATAGATGATTCCTGGCTTTCATAAAAGAAAGACAAGAAAATAATGTACATCTTATTTACACTGCTCTGTGGGTAAATAACAGCTTTAATATCAGTCATCGTAAAACATAAAACTCAAAAAAGGAGAGTTATTTTGAATGCAAAGATAGGTTAATAGACATGGTTTTGACAAAGCAGAGGAAAAAGCTTTAAAATCCTGAAGGTGTGCAGTATATCCCTGTCGAGTAGATTTATAATGGTGCTCATTCCTTTCTGACAGGAGTCTGAGAGTCAGAGCCTTTTGGATTTGCACCTCCAGAGATTTGCCATCCAGTATACATGAATAAATGCACTGCAAACAAAATAAGGAATTTCAAAGGAAACCTGCAGCCTGGCAGTACTGTAGTGGAAACCCAGGAAGGATTTATGAGATCTGCTGGGCTACTCACTGTCATCTTTTCCACACACCTCCTTTGTTTCCAAAACAGAAGAACCTTTTATCTCTGTACTTATTCCCTCAAAAAGCACATACACAATTCTATCTGCAGGTTCCAAAAGTTTTACTTTAAAAAATGCCCTTGGGGTTGAATTTCCCTTTTCGGTTGTTACACTGCTTACATAAAACTTAATGTTTGGCAGTTGAAGAATAGATTTTGAATACATGTAATAGCACGTAACTTTCTTCAGAATAGCAGAAAAAATAAATAGAAAAGGAAATAAATAGGAAAGGACAGAAGGATAACAATACAAATTGCTTTAGCCTAGAAGTGTTGCATCCCAGCACAGAGGCTGAGATCACCTTACACATGAACTGTGCTTAGCTGATGTTAGACTAGCACAATATGAAAACTTCTAGTATTATCATACTCAGAAATCTTGACAAACCTTGTGAAGGTCAAGCCACACTCACACATGTACAAATGCAAATACAGAGACAATGCTGATCTTGCATTACTCTCCTACCCAGCCGGCATCCTGCATTTCAGTGGAGGGGTTGCAGGTACAGACCTATTGCTTCTCTAAATGACTGGGCAAAGGCAGCAGAAGCTATTTAACATTGTGCTGATATAGGCCATGTCAAATCAGTATTCCCTAGAGGTAGAAGGGAAAGATTTGAAAAAAGCTGCCATGCTTTCCAAGATGACTGCTGTGTGAATAAGGATTATGTCTTCCTTTCCCTCCACTTCCTAGAAATTCAAGCCCCTTGTTTTATTATCCTTTGAAAGGGATTTTTCTTGTTCTTTTTTTCTCTCCGGTCTTTGTTTTAAGTTCCCATGAAGAGTCACCCTACTCTGCGTATATAAGGTATAATATAAGGTATAATAATTGTCCTCAGGGAAACCAAAAATGAGTTCTTGTGCTGTCTGTCATTTCTGTAACATAAGAAACCAACTTATTCAAATGAAGACAGAAATGCATACTGACAAGACCTTCCAAAAGACTTTTCACAAATACAATGCTGTTCACTTATGTACTGTTTCACAGTACAGCACTGTATAGTCCTCAAGAGCCATCATCATTACGTTACTGTGTGTTGCAGAAAGCATTCTATCACACCCAAGTAAAGTAAACACTGCAATACCATAAAAATGTCATGAGCCTAGTTAATAAGTGTGAACTGTCAGAAAACAGCCCCCAGATCAGATTCCCTACTGAGGTCTCAGTGCTTGTACGTGTTTTAAATAAACACAGCATTGGAATTCCCTCCACAATGAAGTCATCTGTATAAAGTATCTTCTGCAAAAGGTTGTTGCAGTGGTCCCAGGAGAATGTGTGTGCTCTGGTTTGATTTAAGCCCAATAAATTGTGGGATGAGTAGAATCATTCAGCATAATCCCTAATTGAAAGCAAACTGTGTTATACTGTACTGTACTGGTGGCCATAGCGTCACTGATTGTTCAGCTGACATTTATTGAGCTTTTCTCTTCAGTGCCTTCAAAGACCACAGAGACTTCGCATGGTTCTCATCCCATCCTATTTTCAGTTTTGCATACTAATGTTCAAGTCTCACCGTGAACTAAAAATAACTCAGGAGCAGAGCTTAACAAAATGGTTTATTTGTTTCTTTGGCTGAAGACCAAGGAAGGTAATGTTCTTAGTGATGCTCCCACTCCATACCTGAATCAGTATGCATATGGTGATTTGTGTGAAATAAGAGACCCCTACAGAAAATGTATTTTCACTGGTTCCTCACTTTTGAAATCTTAAAAAGTCAGTCAAGAACAGAATAAAACCAGGACCCATTAGGCCAAGGTTAATGGAGTTTAACAACTGTTAGAACTCATGCTTCACTGAATGTGTGATCTGAAAAAATATAAGTTTCCAGACAATTTGAATTTGCCTAGGAATAAATAGAAAAATCTGGAGCTATTTTGCACACTTACGTCCATCCTGGTTTTAATATAATGTATAGATAACAAACTCACCATGACAACCTCCATTGGAAAATGAGCAGAGTAATGTGTTCTGCTCACACTGAAATAAAAGCAATGAACAATTAGCATACCAAGGAAAACGAACCCGATGCAGAGTAACCAGAGAAAATCAGTGCAATACACAAGAATTCTGTTTCTCTATATCAAAGTTAACTCCTTCTCTCAAAATCATATTTCATGCAACAGTCTATTGGACACATTTGCTGAGTAAGACTTTCACTGTCCTTCTAAAGACCTATCAAGTAGATGTCTCCCCCCCTTTTTTTCCCCACAAAACTCAGTCTCTATGATGTCTGGATTCACTCTAAAGCTTGTAACTAAAATTTTGCTTTTGATAGAAATTTTATAAGATTAGCTTCTGACTCACATTTTACTTGATGAAATCTCATTTAGATTTTTGTGAGAACAATTCTGACACATGAAGTTATTAACGAGTTACCTTTATCCAGATAATTTTTTTCATACTGATTTCCACATGAGTGTTGCCAATATACGTTTAAAAGAGAAATACAGCACAGAAACAAAATTCAAACCACGATTTTTTTCATTTCCATTGTGTTCTGTAGAAAGACAGTTATTCCACACAGGTACCAAACACTATGCACCGTATTTCAGGTAGCTGCATTGCCAAGTACCTTCTAGAATAGACAAAAGATAACATCTCCCTCCTTAGTAACATATGCATGATCTTATAAATTAACTTATTAACTTGCTATCTTATTAAATTAATGAATAAATTAATCCAATGCAAATCCTAATTAATATCTGTCAATTTAGACTTTTTTTTTTTAATCATACTAATCAGTTTAGCTAACAGAACCAAGGGGAAAAACAGCAAAATTTCAGAGCTGAATTTCTAAACAGAGAAGAATAGGTATGGGCAGCACAGCTCTTCAGTAGGCAACAGCAGAGGTTGTGGACCATTATGATCCTTTTCAACCCAGGCCATTCAATCTTTCTATGATTCTTCAGTTCTTAATTATTAACAAACCATTTAGGAAATGGCTGTGATTTCCTCAGTCCAGTTCATCAAACTGGATGAATTGGGCTACAGTTAGCCTTTTACCTTATTGTACTGAAATGCTTTCATTGTAATGATAGAAAGAATAATGTGTATTTTTTTCCCTTTTAGGAACATCGTGGAATTTGCTATAGTTGTGTGCAACTTGAAAAAATATGATCTTTTCTGGGACATTTTCCAAAAAACAACTAATTTTTTTGTGTGCTATTTGTTTTCCAATACTAATAGTATAGAAAATGGAAATGCAGGGAAAGTAACCACGAACTTCAGTACTGTCACCATGATAACTGAATCATGTAGCACATCCTACCTTGTTTACATCTTCACATGCCTGGCTGCTCATGCTATCCTTCTGGATTATCTTCATCAGGTCTGCATGAAACTTTCTGGCGTTGAGAAAGACTAATGGGTTGCTGACTGAAACTATCTTTACCTGTTTTAATGATTCCTGTGGAGTGAAATAAACAAAATGCTGCAGTTTATCTTCGTTTTGGAAATATACATAAATAAAAGTGATTTCTTTAAAAATTCTGACAATTCCTGTAAATCAACTCAGAATTAACTTTGTGTTGTGAGGATGTTAACAGATAGCTGCCTTGATCAGCTTTGATGCAACTGCACTTAAGGAGGAAATAAGAAATCTACAGGGAAATTATCCATAATTCAAGTTAACACAAAAGCAAAATCACATTCATTACAAAGCACAATTTCAAGAGCTATCATCAGGCAAATGGGAGGAGCACGATTTCAGTTGGCATAATCTGCAGACACAGACAAGCGTTACAGACTGGGAATATCTTCTATAGTGCAAACATGTATTGGAAAAAGTAGACAAAAACTGGGAGTATACACTGTGTCAGGTCTGGGGAACACTCATAACATTAACCTCAGATTCCTGAGGACTATTATAGTACAACAGGGATATTTCTCCATGGAAATGAAAAAAGCCAGCACTGACTTTAGTAGTGGAGGGAAATCCCACCAAACCTGCAACCCTGGTTCTCACACCTCCCTGAGCTAGAGCTGAGAATCGTTTAAGAGGTACAGCTTATAGCTGAATATCCTGCCTGGGGAGAAGTCTTTCTGGAGCCACTCTCACCTCACTGAGCTCTTGAGCATGTGCAAATTGTTGATGGTCCTACTTGCACCGACTGGATCCAGACTTAGTCTGAGGGACGTGTTTTAACATCGCTAGCACACACAAAGAACCATCAACTACTCTGGATCCTGTCTTCACATTTTTGCTAAAAAGTTTCATCCAAACATCACTGAAACTGTAACTCAAAGCACAGCTGTTACACACCAGAACAAATAAGGAAGGAAAACAGACAAAAGTCAGAAACGTCCAGCTACCAAGGAAGAACACTTCCCACAGAATACACAGTTTTTCTCTTGTTCTTAAGGTGAACTTATAAAACACTGTCAAAAGCTAGTAATAATGTGTATATGTATGTGGGTTGCTCTGAAAGTAATGCCTCTTATTTATTTTCATGGAAACTACAAAAGATACAAAGAGCACAATAATGCTATTTGATAGAGCGAACTCTCAGCTAAAAAACCTATTTTTTAACATAGTCACCACAATTATCTATTTTTCACTAGAAATGAACAAGAGCCTGCATGCTGCACTTGTAAAAATCTGCACTAGCAGAAATGACTCACCATTTCACAGATGCCTATGACAGTGTCATTCTTAGGAAAACATTGCCCACACAGTCATTGTGCTAACATTCATTGTTTGGTCTCCATAAGCATTGAGAAAGCATCAATGAATGTTAGTGGGTGCCATTTTTTCTGCACAGAGGAATTCAGTACATATCTTTGCTTCATCTGCACTTCCACGTCAGATGCCACAATGCCCCTCTGCTGCCATCTGTCACATGGTAACAAAATGTAATGGAATACTGGTGGGAAGGTTCAGCCTCTACTATCATTGCACCAACATTAGCTGCTGACATGGTGAGCCAACATAATAAAAGAGGAGGCATTACTTTCAGAGCAGCCCTCCTATATATAAAAACACTGGGTATTATCATCCCTAGCTTAATTGTGATGCAGCTTTTATATGTGGACTGAATTAACCTAATTCTAGTGATACATCCACTTTCCACAGGTTATAAACTGTGCATCTCTTTTCCTTGGGAAATAATCATGTATGGTATCATAGATACCAAATACTGGCTCTCTGTCACTATTTCAGATGGACCTCACTCACTGTGCAGCAGCTCTCACTTGCTTTGGTGTCTACTTCTTGCATTTCAGACTTGAGGAAAGGTCTGTTGGCTGTTAAAGTCTTCTGCTTTTCCAAGTGTATTATCTTATCTAGTAAAAGATACTACATCTAGTTATAATGTTATTTGATTATATTCAAATAAATAATTGTATTGAGTTTTTATGTATCTAGTGCTGCAAAATAGGAATAAGAAGGATCATGTATAGCCTGTAAAACTTACCAGTATTTTCAGGAGCATTTTCTACCCAACTGGCACACAACCAGAGATCTTTAAATATCCGTAATAACTCTACTAATATGGCCCAGTTGGAAAAAACACAGTAGAATTAATTTGCCTTTTAGGTGTGTCTTTCATGGATGCAGGGGATCTCAAGATTATTTGTGAAATCTCAGGGCTTTTTGCAAACAGATGATGGAAAAATATGATCCTTGAATCCACAACTGAACATTAAAAGTAAAACGTTAAAAAATCTCTATATTTATTTTCACTACTGAAATAGTTTTCATTACAAAAAAAAAAAAAAAATCTAATTTATACAAGTGTCAGCTCCCAAAAATGAACTAATCATGACAACAAGTAATCAGCAGTAAGAAAACAAAGAGATAAAAATCCCAGACATTTTGAAAGAGAATATAAGCTTCAAAAGTTTCAGTTCTTCCTAACAAAAGTCAGCGACATTTAAAGTTACTTAACTAGGCCACACTCCAATAGAAGTAAGTGGAGTTGACACAGAGACCACTTCTGTAGCCGCTCAAAGAAGCATGGGATTGCACTGAAGAAACAATTTTCCCAACAGACCTTCAAGCAAAATAGGACTGGAAATCTTTACCACAAACCACACTACCTCCTCATTGCAAGCTATTATTCAGACTTCTGGGAACAAGGCAATCTCTTGGACACCACCGCAGCAGCCATCATACAGACTTAAACATTTCAAGTATCCAAAACTGTGGCAATGAAGCCCAGTCTACATATTGTGATTTGTGCAGTTTACCTATGAATCTGATTATGGTGAACATCACAACACCAAAATGTCTCAGTCAGTCAAGTGGCAAAGCCTAACTGGCAATTAAAATGGCCAAAATTATATGAAAACCAGGCTCTAAAACAGGGACAAAACAAAGAGCGATACATAGTTGAACACAGAAATACTCTGAAATCCTACAGATTCCCTTAAAAACTATCCTACACAGAGCTTGGTGTGGAGACAAGTGAGAACTTTGGTGCCATACCAGAGCTGACCAAGTAGAAGATAAAAATAAAAGAAAAATAAAAAGATAAATGTGCAAAGATCAAAGTCTCTGGTGATCAAAAAGGTGAAAGATGTGAAAGATTCAAACTGTAGAATCACAGAATCAAACACCTCTGCAAGAGAAAGGCTATCTGCTGAAACACATTCAAGCAGGGGGAACACTTAGGTATAACTTTTTGCCTAAAATGGGCAACACAAATTTGATTCAGTTATTCTTGACTTGAGTTTTAGCTCTTGTCTTAAGAAGAACAGTTCTAAGAAAAATGCATTTCTTTTTTATCATGTTCTTGCCCAGAAAAGAAGAAAATGGTCATTATGGGTGGCTTATTCCCTCTGTCACTTAGGATGCTTACAATTGCCCCTCACGCTCTGCACAACTCTCTCTATGTTTGGGTAAGAATTCATGTTAGTGAATGCCTGTGATGCAATTTGTTTCACACAAACTTCTAAACACCCTCTTGATTTTTTTCCACATTAAAGTGTCATTTCTCCTATGGATGAAATAATCCCTATAAATCCACAGACTTTAATGGCAGGGTAGATCATTAAGCTTGCATATTTTTGTGTTTAAAAAGCTCTGTTACTTATGTCTAAGCTATTATTTACCAGAGGAACATGGATAACTCTAACACACATACATTAAAAACTACCCTAAATGACTGCTGCAACCCAGTGGCTCCATAAATTAAATTAAAAGCATTTTTTATAAATCTTAAAAATATTTTCCTTTATTTGTATAATAAGCTCTTGAGCAATTTGCTTTCTTAACAAAATGTTATTTTCCTCAGTGCCTGCAGACACTAGTTCGTTATTACTTGGTGGCTGGCATTAATCTTAATGATTAAAAAGCTGCGGAGTAGTTAGCTTAAAAAAAAAAAAAAAAAAAAAAAAAAAAAAAAAAAAAGATGCACAGAGATTCATACGAATACTGTATGAATTGATACAAAAGCAAATAAAAAATAAAAGCAGGCAAATTTTGGTAGCCCATCTCTGACAAAGTTATTCTAACAGTCTCCTCAAGAACGACAAGTGATATAATTGACAATTGGACCAGCTTCAATAGCAGTGTTTTAAATTTATGTTTTAGAGTACTCTCCATTCTTACGTGCCTCTCACATTCCAGCATTGTTCAGCATGCCAGAATGGTAAAACCACCCAACCCAAGCTTGGATATTGTGCCCAAGATAGCTCTGATAGAAAACATTTGCCAGAAAAAGAAGATTTAGAAGAGAGCTTCTTAATAATAACAGGTAATAACTGTGAACATATTACATTTGACCCTTCACAGTTATTAGGAAAGGAAAGCAGACACAACAGAAACTTCCATGATGGAGAGCTCAGGATGTCCCAGTGACGGGACTCTATGCTGTAAGGACACATGGTTCCACTTTTCTGTTGGCTACTGATCTAAAACTTCATTCCGGAGGAGGGAGGTCACCTCTCTGGGTTGTTACCCATCTCTTCTTACCACAAGCTTGACCACAAGCAGCTTTTATGGTAATTGTAATGAAAACGACCAAAAGAATTTAAAACCTCTCATTGGTAAGTTTAAGTTTGTACAAAGCAAATTTAAACAACACAGTCTTTGGGAGAAATGCTTATATCCACTTATCACATACGCTTGCCTGAAAAGTGAGGTGCATGAAGCAGCCCGTGACACTTCATGATGCTGCCTCGCACACATGGCCTCCTCTGGGAGTCAGGTCACTGGGGCTGGAGGCAGTGTCAGGGGCAGAAAAGAGATAGTGGATGGTGGGGGTACCAAAGGACTTTCAGGAAATGAGGAAATCTGATAAGAACATAGAAAGAGCTGTCCAATTCCCTGAGACTCAAGGCTACTTTTCTACCCACTATGTTATCCTGGCTTTATATTTGAAGTGCCTTTTGTAAGAAAGGACACGCTGATTATAATCTGGTAACCAACTACAGAAGACAAACAAGCCTTAATTAGGACGACACAGAGAAAAAAAAAAAAAAGAAAGAAAGAAAAAAAAAGAGGGGGTTGGATTTAACTTACACAAGTATCTTCAGTTTTGTATTTATATTCCACTTCTTTCATATTTTTCAAATTCAGTGTCTTTTCTCTGTAATCAACACATACAGAAAACATGTGAGTCAAATCATTAGTAAACATGAACAGAAAGAGCAAGATACAAGACACCCCAAAACCGTAACACAGAAGTCTAAATGTATGGCAATTATGGTAATTATTTGATGATCAGAGGGCTGGAGCACTTCCCCTATGGGACAGGTTGAGAGAGCTGGGGCTCTTAAGCCTGGAGAAGAGAAGGCTTTGGGGGGACCTCATTGCGGCCTTTCAGTACCTGAAGGGACCTACAGGATAGCTGCCCGTTTTATAAGGGCAGGTAGCAACAGGATGAGGGGAAATGGCTTCAAACTGGAAGAGGGCAGATTTAGACTGGATATTAGGAAGAAATTCTTTACTTGAATACTCCCTGGGAGCATTCAAGGCCAGGCTGAATGGGGCTTTGAGCAACCTGGTCTAGAGGGAGGTGTCCCTGTCTGTGGCAGGGTGGTTGGAACAAGATCATTTCTAAGATACCTTCCAACTCAAACTATTCTACGATTCCATGACAATACTATCCATATATATTTTTCTACATATGTATTTTTCTGCTTATAAAGCTTATTTATCATAATGACAGTGTAGTCAAAAGAGTAAATGGCAAATTTCAGAGTTACAGTACATCACTTTGAAAATCTAATAGAATTTTATTTTATTCAACTGCAAATAATAAGATCTTTATTTTAATTTTCGTTACCATTTTATACCTGGCCAGAGAGCTAGTCTCAAATCAAGGTAGCTAATACATGAACTACCACTTCAAAAGCTCAGAGATTTAATTAACATTTTCTACCTTTAACCTTTAAGGATGATTTATTTGTAGTTAAAACTGGTGCTTGTCTGTATGACAAAGCAGAACGCTGCACTCTAGCTGTCAAAGTGGAGGACTCAGTTGGAAAAAACAGTGTCCCCATGCTCTCTGTATGGTCAGTGGAAAGTTGCTTTGAACAGGCAGTTCAGTATAGGAATTTCTGCATCCATACATCTCTGCAGGAATGCATTAAAGTGCAGAACAAGAAGTCTATAAAGCTAGCTGTCATCTGAGATCTGTGCCTAAAGCTAGGCAATGAGAGTAATCCCAGAACTAGACAAGGCAGTGCACAGGGAGTATTTACAAGTACCGGGGTTGGCTAAATGAGGCTTGCAAAACTCAGCTGTTCTTTCTTGTCTGCATAAATCTTACTGTAGCTGCTGCTGTTTTTAATGCATCCTGATATATAACATACCATGTCCAGTGCTCTGGTGTCTGAACAGAGATTTCATAATAAATCATCAAGTTATTTTTCATGCTTTAGCGTCTAACTCTTTTGCAGCAGTCATTAGTCAGAACATGTTTGGCCATGACTGGCTGACTTACTGCATATTCTCATGATAATCTCACCTGTGCAGTGCACTTTTTAAGGTTGTTAGGTCTTTTGGTGCCCTTAGATTGCATGGACAATCCCGTACAATCTGATGGAAGACCACACAAATCAATGGAAAGAGTATTACTTAGTTAACTAGTGCAGGTCCAGACTAAGGTTTTAGTCGGACAACAGAGGATCCTACTTTTTGTGCCAAATATCTCTCCCTTTTCTGTTGCAGATCAACAGACATCCAAATGTGTAAATAACATGAAAACTTTCCTTTACAACAAGAATTTACCAATAGTTTTCTAAGCAGCAGGGGATTACCAGTAAGGTTCTGATTGTTTCAAGCAGAAATCATTTGCAATAATTTGCAATTTTGAGCTATTTTCACGCTGATTCTGCAAATTATCCTGTAAGAACAGAGCTCTGCATAACTTTAACAAGCATTTAATCGAGCTGTCTATATTGTATTTAATTCCTGTGTAATTAAATGTTCTTGCAAACAGCTGCCTGCAGGCAGCAAGTCATTCATAGGACTGGTGAGTTATGGATTAATTCTGTACTATGAAATGATCATAAACCCCGAACAATGTTTTTCTTTTAATCAAAATTAGCAACTGTAATATATGAAAAAAGAATATCTGAATTTGTTTTAGCTCTAGATACTTCATCCCAACTTCTCTAATTCATAGATAGGATCCATAAAGCAAATTTCAGGCATTAGAGCATGTCATGCAATTATCTTTCATTAACGTGTTTTAGCAAGGCAAATATCAGCTTGCAACTCCTGTGCAATGCAGTATCTAGCAGTTGATAAAGGAGTTTTGTTACTAAGTCTTGTCAGAAATATTCTTCATGAGTAACAGTATGAAATGAAAGAAAAATATATTGTTGGCTATCCTGATGACTTTGTGCTACTTTCATCTAGTGAGTGAAACAGATACATACTACTAGGTGGTAGTACATATCTGCCTGGGCAGGAATTGGACCAGATGGCTTCCAGATGTCCCTTCCAACTTCAGCCATCCCAGCATTCTGTACAACTGAAAACTGAGATTTCACTGTTAAATTTAGTGTAGTGTAGGTATATCCCAACAGCAAAGCAGTGTTCCAGAAAGAATACATAATTATGTGCTACTAGAACATTTCAATAAATTACATCTCACCTGGGAAAGCGGAAAATCACAATTGCTATTGTGCAGACAACACCATACAACAATCCCACGTTAGCAGCAAAGCAGATTGTGAACATGTAGGTAGTAACCCATATGCTCTTCAAGGAGGGAAACAGAAAGAGATGATTAGATGATGATAATTGTAATGATGTACATCTTATGAGTTAGAAATAAAAAAAGCCAGTAGTTTCTGAGAGGTGAGCATTTAGATGTTTGAACTGGCAAGTATCTGAGTTATCATCAAAATAACATCTCTCCACTGTAGAACACGTGTAACAGGACATCCTGCTCTTCCCGATGTTCACAGAAGATCATTCTGGACGTCCTTAAAATAGTGCAAGTAATTGTGCTAGCAGCTTAATTTGGAATGAACTAGGTTAGTTGGTTAAAACTGTAATTGATTATTCACCTTGCAAGTTATCACTACTTTCTTTGCAGCACACAGCTAAAATCCTTCTTCCCTTCTACACAATGAAGTACTCTAAAGGTCACACACAGAGAGCTCTTCTCTCACTAATTACCTAAGTGGGAATTATAATTTGCAAGGAAGTTAATCACAAGTGGCATTTATCAGAGTACAGCTGACTAAACCAACTCTGTAACAATTAAAAATTATTGAGGAATGAATCAGTTGACATTAAAATGGTGAGTTTTCAGATTGCTTCCCCATCTTTCAATGTTTGAATTTATTTTAAGTTTTTTTTAAAAAATGCAAAGAATATCGGGAAGAAAAGTTGCTTCAGAAAGAAATTTTAAATATGAAGAAGAAAAAATGTTTACATTTCAAAAAATTGTCTTAATTTATTTTTTAAGCAGAAGAGATTACTCCTACTTCCATCCCATAATGGTGTATGTGACATAGAGATATCCAGATTTTTACATTAAAAGGAGAAAAGTATTACTGACTTGATTTCTTATATAGCCCTGATGTCAAGGATATCCAGCACATACTTCTTTGCCTGAGGGCTCCTTCAGCAAAGACTGCCACCTTATCTTCAAATAAAAAGTGTTAAAGAAGAATGGAAAGTATTTTCTCTTCTATGAATATACTGTTCTCCACAGTCATCCATTTCAACCATTACAGCACTTTCTGATAACATTTGCACAGGAACAGATTGCAATGCACATAGGATTAAGCACTTTTAAACCCCTTCCCAATCAACTCAAACTAGCTACCACAAAAGTAATGTAACGCATGTCTGCTAATGCTGGAGGGATAAAAAAATCTCACTAGTATGTAAAATTATCATAATAGAAGAGCTGGCTTGCTTGCTACTCGGCAAAAAATTGGTTATACAGCAAAGCCTTCTGAGCTTTCTCAAGAAGGAGGGCCCCACCATATTGAATACCTGAACAAACCTAAAAGGCTATCTCCCTCATGAGTATGAAATGTTAAAATGTTCTAAAATACATAAAATTATACCGGTGGGCTCCAAAATTCCATGAGAAACCTTCCCTGATCACCCTACTCCAATCTATTTTGACAAAACTGTTTGACAGGTTGGTGGCTTTGTGTTGGAAAACCCTCTCTGGAAAGATGCTGGAGGGCACTTGTCAGAAGTAAGCCCGATCTTGTCACTACCTTAACTGTAGTTAGTATCATTCATTATGCCCCTTACAAATTAAAATATATGCATACTTATGCAATTAATGCATCCATAAGTACCTCTCACATCACGGTATCACAAAAGGAGTGTGTAATTTTTACAATAAATTGTTGCTATTCTTTCTGCTTTCACAAGTCAAGAGTACAACTTCGAGCTATTCAGCTCTGGTCATTTCCAGGCCAAGTCACTCATACAGTGAGAATGCTGTTAGAAAATGTTGGTGGACTATTTTCTTGATGGAACATGGTCTAAGTTTTCTGCAGATTAAAGTGCAGAAAAATTTTTATAGATGGCATAGAAGACAACAGTGATAATTTAAAAGGTTGAAAAATAAAGAGCTTTCATGGAGAAAAATGACACTATCAGACGCTGACATATCCAGTATTATCCTGGAGAATATGGCAACTGCTGGCCTGATCAGCTGTACTCTTTGCTGGATAAAAATTCTGGCTGGCTGGATGGGCCCAAAGAACAGTGGTGAATGAAGTTAAAACCAGTTGGTGACTGGTCGTGAGCAGTGCTTCCCAGGAGATGGTATTGGGGCCTGTCCTGTTCAATATCTCTATTGATGGCCTGGATGAGGGCATTGAGTGCACCCGCAGTAAGCTTGCAGATGTCATCAAGCTGGGAGAAAGTGTCAATCTGCCTGGGGGTAGGAAGGCCCTTCAGAGGGACCTGGATGGGTTGCATTGCTGGGCTGAGGCCAACTGTATGATCTTTAACAAGTGCTGAGTCCTCCATTTCAAAAAAGTCCATGCATTGCTGCAGGCTTTGGGTAGACTGGCTGGAAAGCTGCATGGAGGAAAATCACAGAATCACAGAATCACCCGGGTTGGAAGGGACCTCAAGAATCATGTAGTTCCAACCCCCCTGCCTAGCAGGGCCACCAAACAGGATTTGAGAGTGCTAGTGGCCGGCTGAACATGAGCCAGCAGTGTATCCAAGTGGCCAAGAAGGCCAATGGTATCCTGGCTTGTATCAGAGCTGCCAGCAGAAGCAGAGAGGTAATTGTTTATCTGTACTCAGCACTGGTGAGACTGCACCTTCAGTATTATGTTTGGTTTTGGGTCCCTCGGTATAAGAAAAACATAAAAGCCCTGGAGTGTGTCCAGAAAAAGGTAAGGAAGTTTGTGAGGGCACAAGCCTTATAGGGAGTGGCCAAAAGAGCTGTGGTTGTTTAATCTGGAGAAGAGAAGGCTCAGGTGAGAGCTCATCATTCTCTACAGTTACCCAAAAGGTCGTTGTAGTGATTTTGAGGCCAGCGTCTTTTCCCAGGTAACAACAACAGGATGAGAGGTAATGTCCCCAAGTTGCACCAGGGGAGGTTTGGGTTGGGTACTGAGAAAAATTTATTCTCCTGAACTGTGGTGAGGTATTGGAACAGGTTGCCCAGGAAGGTGGGGGTCACCATCCCTAGAGGTTTTTAAGGAAAGGTCACTAATGAAGTGACATGGTCTAGAGCAGTCACAGGCATGGGTTCTAGTTGGATTACATGATCTTAATAGTCTTTCCAACTTTAATGATTCTATGATTCTAATTTCTAATATTTTTTCTCTTTAAATGTAGTAATGTTTCTCTGTTGAATATTCTAAATCTCTTTTATATATTTGTTTAACTGAAATACGTTTCCCTGCATTTGGTCATTTCTAAGTCCAACAGTTAACCGCAAAATAATATTTTTCTTTGGCACTCCTTTATCAGTCTTTGTCTAGTTCAAATAGCTGCTGTTCATCTAGGACTTTCAGCCTTAAGAACATAACATAACAAGAACATTACTGACTTTTTCCCTTACGAAGGGGGAACTTATTTAGCAAGAAGAAATTAGGCTAGCAGGAAGGATATGGAAATCAATTCTTGAATTGATAACATGAAAGAAGACATACACTTAAGAAGTCCAGATCAACTTTTTGGTAGTTCCCCAAAAAAAGAGGAAAAATTCAAGAGTAGTCATTTCCAGGTCAGTGTACAAAACAGATAATTCAGGGAACAACACCTTGGAAGCATCCAAAATACGAAGACATCAGAGAGGGGAGAAATGCTGTATTGCATACAGCTATGAATATGTACAGTTCTTTTACAATAAATATCACTAGAAAAGAGGAAGCTTAGATCTGAAATGAATGAAGTCATCTAAGAAGGCGCTGGGACTGACAAAAAGCCTTCACTGAAAAAAGAGACCTTTATGTGAAAGTTGTGAGTGGCAGAAAAGGACTCTGGAGCAAGAACCGTGGGATTCTAGCTGGAAAGAAGTTGAACGTGATTTGAGAGATGGGATATAAAAACAGGATATTCCTGAGGCTGATAAATTGAAAGAAAATTGAAACAAATATATGTAGTAATATTAAGCTGATAACATACTGTATCAACCTGCTCCTTCAAACTTGGCTGCTTCTAAACATTAGATCTGCAAGAAAATGCAATCCATGGCTGAATTGAGAGATTTCAAGCTACCTTTCATATGTCAAAGGATTATGTTGTATAAATCACTAATCAAACAGTATTACTCATGCTGTTCATGTTCATTAAGAAGTTTAAGTGTGAAGGAACAAGGTAAGAAAAACTGTAATGGTCCGTTTCCATGCATTATTTGCCAGACACATGAGCATAACAAACCTGTCTTCTATAACCCTTAAAAAATTATTTCCAGAACAGCTGCTAATTATTTCCAAATGTTTTGTCAGTGGTTTTTTTTTCTTCAAAATACTCTGGATAACCTGGGTAATGGAACTGATTTGTTTCCAAAAGGCTGTCAGTTCTGGAGTGAATCTTTCAGTCCAAAATCAACACCACTGAAGTTATTCAAATCACTGTACATAGTGGGGCTTCTCAGCCTAGGCAGCAATATAAGATCAATGTTTGTAGTTTTATTTTAGATTAATGCTGTTTAAAGCAAGCCGATTTATCCTGTCAGGTTAAGGACTGATGGCACAAATACTTGAAGATAAATCATTTTCCAAGTATATTCAGCCAAAAATATAAGCCCAGGAAGCTCTCTCTCCCTATAAACTATCTTAAAAATCATAACAGATGCCAGAGATGTTATAACTATTCACTCATCCTTTTTTGTCAAAATCACAAGAGCAAAAATCAATCAGGTTATTCTACCTATAAAAATGCATCAAGTCTAGCAGAATATTCTGCTGAAAAACTTCACTTATGAAATCAGTGTACAGTTGGAGGAGCTAAGCTCCCTCATACAAATTTTCTGAGGCCCACTATCCCCAAAATAATTTTTGATCCACACCATCCTATGTTTTTATAACTGGGTTAGAATGAAGACCAAGTACAGCACAAGTAGAGAAAAATATATTCAGAATTTTGCTTTTTGAGGAATGTAAGATTTTGTGAAAGACAGAGCTCTTCTTCTGATTGACACAAAACATGTAACTCTAGTCTTCTATCTTGGAAAGGGAGAAACATCAGGTAGTCAAACCAGAACAAAGCAGGGTTCACACAACTCTGCTTTCAACAGTGAAATTCAGTACTCAGCAAAAATATAAAATAAAAAAAAATAGATGTTCTAATTAGCTGGAGTGACCGTTACTGCAGGAGAATGCTAAATCACCATAGAATCCAACAAAATCCAATACTATCTCCAGAAACCTTTACCTCTCACCACAGAACTGGGGAATATAGGGCCAAAATACCTTTCTGAGTATTTCTTAATTGAAATTGCATAAATAGGAGTTACAAAATCACTACAGGATGTCAATTTGTTTATACAAGCTATAAAGCAGTTAGAGGCCTGGGTTCTGCTTACTGACCAATGCATTCCAAACTCCCATGGGAGAAAAAATTAGGTGTCTTCCAAAACATGACTCATTTTCAATATTTGCTGGAAATTCTGTGTAAATGCATGTCAGACTGCTCAGATCTTGTATTAAATTGTATTTTCTCACTGTTTCTTTCTGTCTATCTGCTCTTTATGTTCTGTTTCATCTCTCATACTGCATAATCTCTCATATGATAAAAGAATACATTTTTGTATCTGTTTGCAAAATCTTGGAGAGTTGAAGCAAATAACATCATCTTAGGACATACATCTTTCTGCATCTCCCGTGTTTCCAGTTCTGCTTGTCCTGTACAGTCATTCCATATACACAGAGAACAAAGATAATGAGACCTTTTTGATGCAATAATAAAAGCATGCTGACTGGCCAGAGTAGGAATGCAAAATTAGATACATATCTGCCCAGATCTGTATACATCTTCAGCATTGAACTATGATCTTTTTCATTTGTCAAAATTTCTTTTTGCTTTTTCTGACGCAGACAATTGATATTTCTGATGCTCCTATTGTGAGACAAAAATTAAGCTGATAATACACAGAAGTAATAATAACAATGACTTGCAATTGTCTCCTCTAGGGCCACACAACTATTATAGTTTATCTAGCAAGTGTTTTTAATGGCTTTCAGGAAAACCTCCTAAGATCAGATCTCACTTACCCAGTCTATTTTATCCACATTCCAATATTTTTTTAAGTCACGGAACTGCATTAGCATCCCCTTCAAGCCCACAATGATAATGCTTGCTAGCACACACTGGAAAAAGAAAGAAGAAAAAGTTCATTATGGAATTAGTAGAGGAGATGAATCTTCTTGCTCAAGCCCAGCAATCAATATTAAAAGCAAGTTATTGAAAATCTGGTGATTGTGTTTCAAAAATGCTATAAAGAAAAAATATTCTTCTGTTGCAACAATAATAGTATCAAAATCAATTTTTCATTCTTGAAGGCATTTTAGAAGGCTCCTGACTATGAGAAAATGACAGAAACTTTAAGACATCCCAAGATTCTGTGTGTGTTGCCAGATCAATGACATCTGAGGGTCTCCAAAGCAAGTAAGCACTCAAATTGTCTACAGTGAAAATATTCAATTTCCCTTTCTAATCACCTAGGGAAAGACTTTAAAGGAAAAAAAACCAACAACGTCGATTAGCTTTGTGGCAGGCACAATAATTTATTGTTCTCCAAGATGGAGAGAAGGATGAAGTCTTTGGGAACTCAAGAAGGGTGGAGAAAAAGAGACTTGCAATAGGGAGGTGGGAAGGGGTGAAAAAACACCTGACCATACTGCTTTACAGTCTTAATGTAAAGGGTGCATCCCATGACAGAGATAAAAGAACTTTCATTAAACTAAGATCTCTATCTTCAATCATGTGTGTTACATTTATTTAAAAAGCAAAATCATACATCATATGCATTACTGGTGTAAGATTGTGGATCTTCATTAATTTCTATTCAGCTCTGCCAATCTGTCCATAACAGTCTGGATGTAGATTTCTCACAAACTACATGCCAAAAGTAAGTAGAAGAAAAACGTTTTATTTTATAGCTATGTGATAGGCTTATGTGGAGCTACATATGTGTAGACTCTACATGTATTATGCAGTCAACTCTGTATGTTATGATTCTGGGACACGTTCTACCCTTGCTATTCTTTGTCCCATTGAAGTTAAAGAGAGTTGTTTCAGATATAGTACCATCTTTCCCTCAAAGAAACTCAGTCTTTATAAAATACTGGAAGTGATAGTACCATACCATGGGCAGCCAGTACAACATTGCTCCAATCGTGTAGATCACCACAAGAACTAATGCACAAGAGATAAGGCAAGCCACCTAAAACAAAAAACATGAAAATCCAATCACTCAAGTACACACAAAAGTAAAAAAGCGTTATTGCCATATATGGTAGACAGAGGCAAGAATGAGATGTTGAAGATACCAGGTATTTATAGGTTGTTTAACTATGTAATTTCAGTTTTTAACTGAGGTGATTACCTTTAGCCAACTATAGTGAAAACACAATAAGGAATACCAGTATCTGTGTTTGACCCTGATGTCAGCAGGCACAAACCATAGCTCCACTCACAGAGTTATTAAATGGTGTGTGTGTTGTGTAACATCTCATTTTAGACCTATTGCAGCACACACAGTCATCCTGTAACATGATTACAAAATTATACTCTATGTTGCATCAAATCACAGATTGGGTATTGCATTGAGCAAAAATTATATATGAAGAACTGTGTCATGATTTTTGCATCAGAAAAGTTTTCTAACCTCTTTCACTGGGATGAGTGCTTGGAGATACTGTGTACAGTCAGAAACCACCAATGATCAGCATCTTATAGAAGCTATGTATTTTACTTTAGAAGATGCAGCAGCAAATTATATAATATTATGTTGATATTGTATGTATATATATAATGATAATTGATGAAAACAACATGAGTCTAAACAAACGTGGTCTACAGATTATATGTTACTTCACAGTACTCTTTGTATTAATCTGTTAGAGAACTACATTGAAATTGTAGTCTCCCACTCTACTCTGACTGTTCACAAAGTACGGCATTTCTGTCTTGATAACAAACAAATAGTAAATAAATAGTATCATTATGGTTGGAAAAGATCACTAAGATCATCCAGCACAATCATCAACCCATCCACACCATGCCCGCAAACATGACCCTCAGCATCACACCTCCATTTTTCTTGATCACCACCTCACCAACTTAACCATCAACATCTCAACAAATCCCTGCTAGGGACAATTGAATAAGTGCTAAGATACAGTCCAGATTCACAGAAGGTTTTGATGGTAAGTACACAGATGCTCAGTTTATTTTTATATTGATAAAAATTTTCCACACTAAAATAATTGTTTCATTTTAAGAGACAAGTTGTTAAAAATAAAAACAAGTAAGTTGTTGAAAGAGTAGAAAACGAGAGCCATGACATACTTTAAAATACCATCAAGAGAGATAGATAGGGTTTTTACAGAAAAAGGGATGCAAAATCTGCTGGCAGAGTCACAAGGAATTTTTGCCTTTCTCTGCCTGTTCAAAACATAAAAAACAATGTGTCGATTGTACTTGAAGGACACTGCTCAGTCGATGAAATAGTTCTTCACTTCTGTTCTTTTTTCAGAAAGAATATCACAGCTCACAGAATCTTTCAGATTGGAAAAGACCTTCAGGATCACCAAGTCCAACTACTCAAATAGAAAACTTGACAGTATGGCAGGGTCTGGATTCCTGTCTTCCTGCAGTGAAGAATAAATTACTTCCCTGAATCTGAAGTTTGGTCTTTGGAGAAAAGCAGGCTGTGCATATTTCTGTCATGTCTTTTTGTGTATGCAAAGCAAGTCATTGCTTTTCTTTTTGTCTGTGATCTGACAAACATCTATGACAGTTATTCTTCTTAGTTGCTCATTCTGCCTAGACAGCTCCAAAAGAATGGGCAGGAGTGAATATATTGCTTTCTAAGACATAGGCAAAGAAGACAGGTGAGAGAATATTATAATCTCGAGTATTGTCATAATGCTGGTGCACAACCACACTAATTTGTGGATGCAAATTCTGCTGTACTATGAAACTTCTGGATAAAACTAGCAGATATTCATTATTCTTACCATGGACTTCCCACTTCGACTTCAAGCCATGGTGGTTTGTTTTTCCATCTTATAGCTTGAATGTCTTTCGAATGGGGCCTTTGTCTATATGTTCCTGAGCCAAAGTGCTCAGATGCCCTATATGCATTCAGGTTAATTAGCTGTCTTAGAAAAGTCATGATGCAGTAAAACTTTAATTTGGAAAGATATGAACAGGTAATAGAAGAGAATGTCAGTGATGGTGAGGGCACATGGTACAACACTGAATCTAACTAAAAAAATCTGAAGTTGATAATAGCAAAATGGCAGCTAAACTATTTGCATATGAATGCTTTTAAAGATGAGTACTTGATAAATTATTCATTATGATTAACAGAGTTCAGAGAAGTGTGTAGGCTAATTAGCAAGTAATTAATATGCATAGTTTTGAAATAAAACCTTGTATCATTTCTTACTATTGTGGTGTCTGCAAGAGAAACAATTGTAGGATATAGACGGGAAGAATCACCACCTACAGACTGTGCTTTTCCTTGGCAGTCACATCCCTTTACTGTTCTTTTCATAAGTAATGACCTTTATACAGGCAAGGGCAGGAGTTATAAAAGGACAATGGCAGCAAACTCTTGAGGATACAGCATTTATACGATAGGATGGCCTTGATGGGCTCTTGAATTTCACAGTATGGACAAAGAGGCAGTGTTCAGTGCTCACCCACATGGTGCCATCTCACACCAAGTTAGCTGCTTCTCTTGCTCCCAGGCACAGATTGGACAGGTTACGACACTACAGAACCCCAGTGAGTATTTTCTTCAGTTACTATTCCCTATTTCCAGAGGTACTGCCATGGGAACTTCTGAGTTTCATTTCAAACAGAATGCAAAAAAAATCCTGAGAAAACTATATTCCATATTTGTGCTCTGAATGCATTGTGAGAGTCAGAAGAAATACACCAAGACACAGAACAGAAGTTAGCACATTGTTTCTTTTAGGAGCAACTCTTAACATCACATTCATTTTCTTTTGAAAATCATATAGGATCACTAATTATTATTAAAAAAAAAAAAAATACAACACTTTAGGCTAGCCTGTAGCAATAAATCCACTAGATGCCATTAGAGGGCACTTTTGTTACAGTGCTGACAAATCTGCACAAAACTGAAAGGGCTCTTGCATAGTTTCCTGCAATCTGAAAACACAACACCCTCACCTCCATACTGTCCCACACTTCAAAGTTTATATCAAATTAGACAGGTAAAAATGCAGAAGTGGAACCATTAGTTTTTCTGTTAAGACTGTTGCCAAACAGTCGTAATTCCATGCAGATGGTTAAAATTGATAGGGATTTTGCAGGATGGTGGAATGCAGTGGATTAATCAGAGCAAGCTCCAGTGTCCAGAGCAGCATGGTCAGTGTCCTTCCACTTAAAGCACTCTATCCTATTACCTGTGTTCTGGCGCCCGTGCTATATAACAGTGCTGTTCGTCCCATCGCTGCCGCGCTTGGTATGCAAAAGAAAAATGAAGGTATCATGTTGCTGAGGCCATGAGCCAAAAGTTCCTGCAAAGTTGTTAAAAAGAATGAGTGTCTTTTTTTTTTTTTTTTTTTTTTTTTTTTTTCCTATTGCTGCCTCATTTCAATGCTTCTTGCCATCAAAGCAATCTTCAATGAAAATATTAGCCAAGATGGAGGATGGCCATAATTGTTAGGAAAAAAACACAGCATATGTACATAATAAAACATCTCCCAGTACATATTCAGAAATTCAGTACACAACTCAGAAGTAATTTGAAAGTAATTTGAAGTAACTACTGAACTAGATTCACCAAAAACAGGAGATGCATTTTTTTCACAGAATAAATGATATTGCTGAGTTTTGAACACAAAATTCAGCAAAAATAGCTGCATCTTGATCCACATCTGCTTTTTAACAGGCCAGAGGCTCAAGTAGTGGGATCTGGACAGTGTCCAGGTTTTTTCTGGCTTATGACTCTACTGGAAGAAGATAGCCACTGATTTTTTTTCATATATGCATTAGTGAAAGTGAAGTATGATAATAACACTATCTGCATGCTCTCTTTCATTAAAAATGCATTCTATGTATTTTCACAAGCAAAATACAAGTATGTACAAACAACTAGTACAGAAGAAGAAAGAATGCACCGAGGAAGCCACCTTGTATCCCAGCTCTACACTGGGAGGAGCTCATCCATTCCCTGAGGGCAATGTGACAAAGACACTGGTGCTGCCAAAGTGCTTGATACATATATGATGTCATATCTAGCCAGGGAAACACATCATGGTGAGTCAGTCTTCACAGCACCAGAGAGGAACACCATGGAAGTCCTCAGATAGACTTGTACACACACATGACACCATGCAAAGAACTGTGCCTGGCTCGTGAATGCAGTGCAGCTTTGCCACCATGTTGCCCTGCCTGCTCTGTTTTCATGTAGGTTTTCTCTTTGCTCCATTATCCTCTGCAGACATACACATAATTTCCACCATTTTGATAGTTAAGCAGTAAAAGTTACAAGTTTTCCAAAAGTACCATAAGACACACAGGTTGCTGTGCTCAGTTTAGTGCCCTCTAGGCACTACAGCACATTGTCCCAAGGCATAACTTATATTAAGCTGTGCTCCTTAGAAAACGTTGCTCTTCAGCACCAACAGAAAATCAGGGCATAATGTATTCATTTCAGAATAATTTTTAGACACCTGAATAGATAAGAATATTGTTGCCTTATTTTCAAATGGTAGCGAGAGTTGCAAAAGATACGCGCTGATGTAGCAAGGCCAATCTGTCTAGATGGGATGTTCAGATAGGTCTTCATCTGCAAAACCAACTGCTCTTCATACAACATTATGTCATCTATCCCAAATGATTTAACAGGAAGTTGGGAACAGAATTCTCATCATATAGCATTAATTGCCAGTTAGGAGTGTTTCTTACCAGTGTTTGAACTATTGACTCCATGGATTCCCACTTGCCTTGAAGTTGCCTACCCACCATGAGCAGTAATGAGGTAGCGCAGGAAGAAATCATCCCACTTTTATTTAAGCTAGCATACTGCAGAGTGGAACTCTAAACAGAGAGCTCCTGTGGCTGCAAATTTAGCAGTGCTCTCTGAAATCATCCTGCATCTTTTATATAAACAAACCTTAATTTCAGATGAGACTCCTTCATTGAATAATCTTATTTTATAACATCAGATATTTCCTAGGGCAGTAAGTACCTAATTTATTTCTTTCTTTTAATCAATCACTGGTTTAAAATCTTAGCTGGCCTTTAAGATCTCAGCTGCCAGAAGAGAAGCTGTCACACCTTGAAACACTGGGAAGACACATTAACACCTAAATTAGCTACAGTCTGCATGAAATGCAGCATTATGAGATTATCCTTGAAGGATGCATTTCCTCAAAAAGTGTAGCTCATCCAAATAGGATATTCTACAGAGCTGATTTGGACTAGATATGAGTTCCACAGTAATCATTGGAAGGCCTCAGGATGTCATGCAGAATTTATGCTTACAGGGCTTTCATCCATAACACTTCTCCAAAATGGTAAATGAGTTTTATAGCTTACTGACCTTCTGGTCTCCTTAAGTAAAGAGAAAGAACTTTACCTGGTTATCATCCACAGTGTAATTAAATTTTTTAGCAGAGCTTTGGGCTAGAGCTAGTGATGCTACATAACCAACCAGTGCTACCCCAAAAGCTTCTGTGACTACCTCAGATAGGACATTCATGGATGGCAGTTTTGGTGGTGGCAGCCTGTAAAAAATAAAGATAGCCTCAATACTTCTGTTATTCTTGACAATAGAAGAGAAACAGTCTTTGCATGCATGGTTAATTTTGTTTAATACTTAAGACATTTATTAAATTTTAGATTAATTGGAACAGTATTAGTATTCAGCATCTCATCATCAGCATTCAGTATGGAAACTTACTCCATCTAATGGCGATTTTCTAATGCTATAAAACCCCGCAGTTAAGAACCGAATCACACCAAACTATCTCTGTACTCTTCAAAAAGATGTCAGACTCTTCTGAGAGCAAATTATGTCCCCTCAGATCTCAGAACACCTAAAGTTTCTAATGATCTCCACTGACAAGGCAGTTAGATATCTCAGGTGAGCGAGCACTAAAGATATGTGGGAGGGATCCAGCTTTCTGCTTATATTTTTCAACACTAAAGAATCTTGGTATGTGAGGTTAGACAGAAAATAAGCTTCTGATTAAAGCTATATCAGTACAATTTAACTGCCCATAATGCATATCAGAAGGAGTACAATAACGTTGTTTCAGCCTCAGAAACACGTAGCCTGTAATAGCATACCCAAAGAGTTAAAAATAATTTTCTTCCTCAGCAACTTCCTTTATTTTACATAAGTGCAATCTGCCACACATGCATTCAGAGCTTGCCCTGTGAAACTTAGGGAAACCCCACAATCTCCAAGAGGGAGATTATAGAACAGCTGTGCTGTTCCTTACCAGCCCTTGGAGTATGAACATTCTCCCTAACACCTAATCTAATTGTTTTCACAGCTAATTATACTGAATATCTTTTTCCTTCTTTTCAAACTCATGGAGGAAAATGTATCATTGCCCATAGTCAGAATGCTCTTCTATAGCTAAATCCTTCTCTTCAGAAACCACATTTTCTAAAATTACCGTATAAATGAGTAAAGAAGAACTCATTGGTGCAATCTACAGGTTTATCTCACTGCAGTCCTCTCTTACACAAAACACAGGTAGCAGTAATCTAGTAGATTGCCCTCCTGACATACATCCATTAGCCATCATCAGGTATACAGTAGCTACCTTACTGCATAAAGTAATGAGATACCTATGAAAATGTACAAAAAAGTCTGCATTTTTAAGACTACATCAATACACCTTGTTAGTGTGAGATTGAATTGTGAGAGAGTATTCGAGAAGGTCATGAATGAAAATGATAGACTTTGCTATTTCTTACTCCAAAAAACTACTCTGACCTCCTCACAAGCTGTTCATAGATCTAAGCATATTGAGAAGCCACAAACTAATAAAAACCATATTACCCTTGAGGAATATGCCCCACAACTTCTAGCCCGTAGACGTATTCCATATCGGCATAGCAGCAGGCAATGGATGTAGCAATTATCTATTTGATTCAATATAGAAAAAATACATTATGTTTCTATTGCTTTCAGGTTCTCATATAGTCCACGTTACCACCAGAGCTGAGAATATGACAGCGTTCATGCATGTGTCTTTACACTAATACAGTAAGACAGGGAAGTATTATAACTAAAATTATAGTAAATCTGGAAGTGAGGCAAAAGAAATGGTCTGGACACAATAACAGTTTTAGAAAGCATGTCTGAGGAAAGACTATGACAGAGGAATTTAGATGCTCACTGGTAATAAAATCAATCTGAAAAGCCATTTGCCAGTCTTCATCAAACTGCCCCTGTGCAGCACATGGCTCAAACCACTGCCATTCACAGCTTAAAGTAATTCAAAACTGTTACCATAACTGAGGTGCGCCAGAGTGTGCGGTTCAGCTCATGCTCTCTGATCCCAAGTGGCAATATCGACTTCAGCATACAACCCAGCAGAAGAAGATGTGGTTACCTCTCAATTTATGTTTCAGCAGATATAAACCTTGCTGAGAGATTGGAAAGTTTGGCCTTGAGGTGGTTCAAGCTCATTTCCCATACTTCTGTGAGCTGACCACAGAAATCCCAGAATAGGAACATGCTGTAGTACATCATGCTTGGCTTGCTGTGTTTTATCCAGTATTTTTTAATGGGCAATGCACAAACAGATCACAGAGCAGAGAGCAGAATCTCATTTTCCAGCATTTTATACAAGAAAAATGGTTCTTTTGTAAACAGTTTTTTTTCAATAGCAACAACAAAAAAAGTATTCACGATGATCCACTCTGAAATAAGCCTTTTGTTATTGTTGCTAAATTTTCTTTTACTGGTCTAGAACAAAACAAAAACTTCTGTCCTAGAGCTGGTTATTTTACCATAGTTTAATCCTTAAAGTTGAGATTTACTGTACAACAGAGAATTTCAATTCGGTCTATGCTATATGAAAGGAAAACTGTAAGTAAACTTATAGAAAGCAATAACTTAGGTATTTAACTTTGCTGCAGATAAATAATATGCAATATCTAAGTAAGAACTACTCAGCACAATGCTTGCCTGGAGTTATATCAGTTACTTTTCATTTCCTACATTAAGCTTCTTACAGTTTAACATTCTAGACCTCATGTTCTTGTAATTATGCAAAAAAGTAATAAAAATATTATAAAAATTGGGAACATATGTCACTTCTTTCTTAATTATTTAGCCAAACTCTTTCTTGTTATTGCATTTAATATACAGCCATGAAAATTAGCCATTCATTTAATAAGTGGCAGGTGTGAGTAACTACAGAAAACATAGAAAAATTCAGGGAATTAGTTGAGCCACTAAAAACTCTATAAAGCAAAAAGTCTAATATTTGGCTTCCTACTTACCAAAACTAGATCGATAGGAAGAACAATTTTTATGTTTCTCTGAAATTTCTCATTCAATTCCTTAACAAGAACAAGCACCACAATGCTCAGCAAGGAGAGAAGTAAAGCCTCTAGCTGAACCGATCTGATATTCTCAAATACGTAGGCATAAATCTGCAGTGATTGAGATGAACAACAGATTATATTCACAAATTACACAATACGTAATTCCAGGTCACATGGTATTGTATTTTCTACACTTCAAATGTCTGAATTATCTGGGTGAGCTGGATCAGTACTCCAAGAGATCTGTCATCAATAATTTATACATTTCTATTGATTGTAGAAGCAAGAAAATTCCAGTAAATCTGATATATGTCCTTTCCTTCCCTGTTTTATTAAATTCAGTGAATTAAGCACAAAAACATTGAGAGAAATTTGCACAAAGATGCATTATTGGTGCCTACAGCACATGACATCCACCAACACTAATGGCAAATGTGAGGTATGAGGAAAGAAGTAAAGAGACAGAAAGAAGGGAAAGAGAAGGAGAGAGTGGAAGAAAAAAGAAAAAGGAAAGAAAGATGCAATAGAGGCTAGGACGGGAAGCAAGAGGAAACTTCCCAGATGATTGTTCTTTTCAGGGCCACCTCTCCAGCACTCTGGGGAGTCCATCCAAATATTTTGCACAGAGCAAGATACATTCAATGTCCCTGTTGATTGCTCATGGCCATTTCACTAACAGTGCTCCATGACGCATGTTTTGATCAGGTCCAGATGCTGCACACACTAATTGCCTGTCATGCTTTGTGTGTAGGCACTGTTGACTATTTAAATGACTAAGGCTATCTACTCAGCTCTGTTTCTGTCTCTAGCATGAAGTTTTAAGTTGAAAGCTGCAAAATAAGTCCACTGCTTAGAGGAACAAAGAAGCATGAAAATGAAAGTAATGCACATGCTTTATAAAGATGCAAGGTGGAGAAAAAGCAAGGTAGGCTTAAACATTTAAATTCTGCATTAAGATTTTAGGAACATTTGCATAGCCCAAAATATAAACTGTATAGAAAAAAGAAGTTAAAATCTAGGCTGTAGTTTCAGGCTGCTTCACAAGTAACTTCCCTTAAAACCACAGCATGAAGGATAATAAAATCAGGGAACTTACGCTTGAAATAAAATATAAGTAAATGTTGTTTTTTCCTAGCAACAACTAAGATCCCAGGTACCAGGGTGGACCAGGCTCTGAGCAACCTGATCTAGCTGTGGATGTCTCTCCATTTATTGCAGAGGAGCTGGACTAGATGGTTTTTAAAGGTCCCCTCTGACTTCAAGGATTCCATGATTCTATGGATTCTAAGGTCAATACAATAAATGAAAAGTCATGCTTGTAATTTTATCAAAGTAGATATTAATAATCCTCTGCCTCACAGAGCCTATTTCCAAATAAATGCATAATACTAACAAAGTTTGACAGTTTGGAGCTTAAATGCATACATTTATATTAGGAAGGGAAAAAGAATAGATAAATTATCTTGAGAAAGAGCACTGTTCTAGAAGAAAGACAGTCAATGTGATGATAATTTTTTCCCTGTTCTGATTCTGTCACTCATTGAAGAGATTATGCTTTTTTTGCATGAGTATATTATTAATGGCTTCTGATTTTTCCTCTCTTACTACTTCTAAGATGATCTTTATAATCTATAAGGGGTGAAAAACTGAAAATATAATATAAAACTCTAAAAATGGTGATGGAAAAACAGAAGAAATGTAATTTTTCTCATAAAGGGAAGTCCTTTCCATTGAAATATAGGCCATGGGTTTTTGATTAAGGATGAATGGCATAACCCAGCACAAACATTTGTCAGAACCCCTGAAAAACATTTTAAAAACAACTTATTAAATAACGTGATATACCTATGTAATGAATATGGTAATCAACCCAATTTTTATTCACGTATTTCCCCACTGTCATCAGACAATGTGAACTATGTCTTAATGTGGCTTGCAAATAATCCGCATACACATAATCTTCCAAGCATGCATTGTCAAGAGAGCACAGGCCTTGGCTTGGTACCCAGCAGAAGCTGTGATTAATTAGGGCAAAGGAAGGCAATCTAGAAAAACTACATTGCAAACTGCACCCACAAACATAGGGAAGGTTGAGCTATATCAAAGATAAAGTGGTAAGAAAATAGAATGATTCTTAATTGTCAAAGTGACGTTGGTTTTTTTTGTTCATTTGCTTGGTTTTTATTTTTTATTTTCCTAATGAGCACTGTCAGCTTTAGCTATCTATGTATTTTTTGTTTAATTTAATTTTTTTTGCTTAGAAAAACTGAGATCTAATGCAGGGTGAATAAATATAATTTTAATGAAAGATTACTAAGAAATGTGCACAAGCTTTTAGAACATCTCTCTTTACAAATTAAATAAAAGGAAGATTCCTTTTATTTTTATTAATGTCTAGCCCAAGCTTCTAGAGCTTTCATAACATCTCAGAATGCCAGGACAGCTGCAGCTGACATGGGCCTCAGTCTATTTGGTTTCCTCCAGCCTTCAGGCACTTCTCCCCTTTGCATTCATCAAGATTATATACAGTGGACTCACAGTCTCATTTGCCAGATCCCTCAGCACTCCCAACAGGGCGAATGGACTTACAAATGCCCAATTTTCTTAAATAATCTCTGACCTGATTCTATTCCACCAAGATTACATATTCGATGCACCAGTCTTTCAGCCTGGCCTCAGGGACATGGGATTTCTGAAGGCCTGAATTACTGGTAAAGACTGAGGCAAAGAATGCATTCAGTAGCTTGGCCTTTTCACTGCTCACAGTAACAAGGTCTCCCTTTTCATTCAACATAGGGACCACATTTCCCTTAGTCTTCTTTTTGTCACTAATATACTCGTGTGTCAGCCATTCTTGGTGCCTCTGACTTCCCTAGCCAGATTCAATTGCATCTGGGCTTTAACCTTCCCTACTCGATCACTGACTGCTCAGGCAATGTCTCCGTACTCCACCAAGGTTAACTGTCCTTGCTTATATCCTCTGTAGGTTTCTTTTTTGTGTAAAGTGTGGCCAGGATCTTCTTGTACATCCATTCAAGCATTCTGGCATTTTTGCCTGACTTCCTCTTTGTTGGGATGCATCACTCTTGAGTTAAAGTTTTTTCATACCTTTATCAGACTCCCACAAACATTTTACTTGAACAGCTTGCAGTATTATTTGATGTTTCTCTCTAAGCCCTACCCTTCAATATGTACTCTACATCAGCGAATAAAAAAATCAATACTTCAGAGCTAACAACAAACAGCCATATCCCCAAAATGTGGCATTTCTAAAAAAGATATCAGAAATATCAGTGTCTGTAATAAACTGAAACAAATCTGGCAGTAATATGTATAAATATTACACCAATTACCACATCAGACTCCAGAGCTACCACTGACTATTCCCTGGTAATCGTTCCCTGAAGCCCTAAAAACACACTTCACGATGATATCAGCAAAGCAAGCAGAGCATTTCACAGACCACTCACTGTTTCTTCAGAGGAAAAACCTGCATGTGGTTAATGTGTACTAAAGCCATCAATCTGCACTCTTCAGTTCAGATTTCATACTGTCCGTTAGATTCCTGTGCTCATCCAACATAAAAGTGTGAGCGCTAAATATAAGCACCTAAAACTCAAGTTACAATTGTAATCTGATTCAGAAGAAATATTTGCAGATGTTTTTATCACAAAAATCACTAGGAATTCAGTATTTTATACATCTTAATGACACACACATTGAAGTAATTTAGAATCTGTAGTAGAATTTAGTGTGATATTGCAATGTAGAGAATATTTTGTGTCATTGTATAGCTAACAAAATTTTTACAATACAGTAATATATTTAGTTGATTGTCTCTTTATTTTATTGTTATTTTCATGCAAAGAATTTTAATTGAAGTGATGCAGTTAGATGAGTGACTTGATGTAAATTTGAAAATAAGTAAAAAAAAAGCAACTTTGTAACTTTGTTCACATATATACACACATAATGTCTCTGTTTTCGTGGGAAATTAACTGCTTTGAATTTCACCCAATTTTCACATAATATTAAATGGTAATAGTGCACACTGTCATGGTTTATACTCGAGAAGGAATGTGCATTCTGGTAGATTAATGAAATCCTGACTTCTTTTTTTAAACTGCATATGTGAAAATCCAAAAGATTAGCTTTAAAAATGAGTATGGAAACTGAAGCAAATAAAATAAGAAAAAGAAAAGCAACACTTGTGTTAAAATGCCTGGTTCTGTCTGAGAGTAGGTGACCTTGTTACATTTTAAAAAATGCCTCTTTTTTATTATTATTATTATTTTTAAGAAATACAACACATTGTATGGGAAAATCATGCAGGCAATTACTGTGAGCTGGACAGGGAAAGAATAGAAAAAGAATAAGAGAAGAAAGGCAAAAGACTGGTAGTGGATTAGTGTGAACATGAAGACTTTCTCGGCCAACTTGCAGCACAACCACAAGGATTTTGCAACCAACTTGCAACGTAACCACAAAAGATCCAATTTTGCAAAGTAGGCTTCTTACATTGCAGGAGTTCACTTTTTAGCACTGCATTCCATAGAAACTTGTGGAAGGATAAAGGGCAAATGCAGATATGGCTTTCTGTTTTCAGTAAAACTTAATGATAGTTTTCTCATTGCCCCTTGTGAACATCAGATTTCACATGCAGCCCTCCCTCATCATTTTCCTTCTCACCTTCATCCAGCCATTGCCATTTGTAAAATCTCCACTGATTCTGCAACGTGCAGCACAGTTGCAGTCTTACAAACCATACACAGGGAAAATGAAATGTAATACATTACACAAGCTATGTGTAAACACAAAAATCCCACATGCTTGATGCAGATGTAATATATTCATTCTCCATACACAAAGCTCATTTTTACATATTTAATTGTGATCTCACTTGCTGTAAAAGAATGCATTTCAATGGCTTGCTCTACTTTCAACCCTCCCGTTACACTTTATTAAACATCCTTACTCTCGCTTTCTCAACCCAAAGGCTGTCTAAAACATAACAATGGGATTTGTGGGTGGGAGGTGGTTTGAAGAAAGAAAACAAAAAGTAAGCAAAAACCTACTCCCTTGTTTCATGAATTTGGAGCAAAAAACATATCAAGAGACACAGTGTCTAATTCACTGCTGGGGACTGAAATATCGGAGTTTCTTGAAGCAATCCACAAGTCTAAACAGACACCAGAAACATTCTGAAGTATATGTATGGTAAAATTGTTCTTTCTAAATGTAGAGGCTTCCTTGTTTGTTATTATTTTAAATTGTACAGAGGGTTTTTTGTTTATTTATTTGTTTTTTACGCAATTCTACAGAGCAATTGAAAACCTTAAAAAAAACCTATCAAGATTTTTTATTCTGGAAAATGCTCAAAGAGGGTTGATTTCAAAACTGAAGTGAAAGGCAAAGAACTTTTTCATATGCATTAAAATATACAAGGGATAAGGGAACAGATTTCTTTCAAAGCATTTGTATTACCTCATTTATGATATCATCAACACACCAACATGGAAATATTTCCTTCTATCACTGCTGTTCTTTATTATTGCTCATAATGTGTGTTTTGATTATTTCCTGGCTGTTGTACTTAACACTGTCAATTCTACAAGATACTAATATGCCCATATGTAAGTACAGCCTCCTTGGAAAACCTACTTAAAAAAAGAAAGAAATAAAGAAAGAAAAAACAGATGGCTGCTTACATTAAGAAGTATTTATGAAAAAGCTTTTGAAGAATTAACAAATATTTTAGTAGATGATGAATGTCTCATTGCTAAAGATAATGAAGAGAATTACTGATGCTGTAATACACATCTACTGAAAATGTAGTTTCCTTATCTTTTCAAAATAAGACCCAGTCTTGCTAATTCTTCATCAAGTTTTCCTAATCTGTTTCTACGAAAAGAAATAGTAAAACGAAGATTTTGGTATTACATCAGTTCTTTCTCACACATACTTCACAAATTCTTCACATATATATAACTTTTTAAAATGTATCATGATTTAAGAAAAGGTTAAGCTAATGAAATAACCCATCTCTTTTACTGGACTCACATGAAAAAATCCTAGCGGTCCTGATATGTACGGCATTTTCATTCCCAGCAAGTACTTCACTTGTGAAGTCACAACGTGCGTCGCAGCTCCTGTGGTCATTGCACTGATCACTGGTTCTGTTAACAAGAAGGTGGCGTGGCCCAGCTGCAGCATGAACATCGCTACCTGGAGAGCAAGGGTATGTGCATTAGCAAGGGTGAAAATGTGCAGCTTCCAGGTGACAGAGCAGTGAGATGGGCTCCTTTTAATAAACTGTAAGGTAAATGAGGATTGAAAGCAAAAGTCCTTTGAAGGATGAATATAGCTTACAATGGGACCACTGAACCACCTGCACCATCTCATTCACATCACTGGTTTACCAGACTCTAACATTAAACTTAGTAATGAAAGCAGACTTGAAGAAACTGTTTTCATACACTGCTTACTACCCTGGTCAAATACATGAGAAAAGCTAACATTCCAGTAAGGCTGATGCTAAGACTCCTGTTCCTCTGATATTTGACGGACCACTTAGTCAATAATAGCTTGTCCATAGTATGATTCCCAGTCAGTAATGTCAATAGCTACCAAATGTATTAGGTGCTGAAACTACAAGATATGAGCCTTATGCTGAACACTCTGTAATTCTGTGGAGATCTACTCTGTCCCAAGCACTAACATTGGTGTCTTCAACCCACAGCTTTTCCACTCCTCTGGGAGATCCTAAGCTTCCTGATATCACACTGGCCCCACACATACACAGATTTCAAATACATGTACGGTCAGTCCAGTATTTTGAGTTGCATCAGCTTTATACACTGAGGTTTCTAGTTTTGCAGATATTCAGAAAAGGAGCTACAGATTTTTCTTCAGAAGATGGGGCAACATTCTTGTTTACAGAAGATCAGAGATGTTTGAACAGTTATGCATTTTGTTTCAACAAACTTTATAAAATTATAGTACAAGTAAACAACAGAAGTGGTGGAAGACAGGATTACTAAACAAACAAACAAACAACAACAAAATAAAAAGAAATTCTAGAAAAGTATTAAAACTGAATGTGGGACTGGGAGAATGATCAGGCAAAAGGAACTTTCTTGTAGCTATCATATTTATCTTGTAGCTGTTTCATAATTTGAACCTGATAACTACAAGAGGATAGAGAGTTAGCCAGAGAGAAATGAGTAATTGCAAAAAAACAAACCCCTCTATGTTTATTAATTCAAGTCCTTTTAGTTCTTGTCCACTTTCAATACTTACTTTCCATGACAACGAACTCAGTTTATTATAGTTGGAATTCCACTTTCAAACTGTGTAGTCAATTTAACTTTATGGACAGTAAAAACTTTTTATCACGTAACAGGCTCTTTGGAAATGACTAATCTCGAACTTTCTGTCCAAAATAATTGAGTCTGATAATGGTTACCTGTTGCATGAACTCACTTTTGGAGAACAAACTTTAAAACCCTCAAACTCCATGGTCTGGAAGGTGCTGGGTTTTTGCTGTTTTTTCTTTTTTTTCTTTTTTTCTTTTTCTTTTTTTCTTTTTTTTTTTTTTCTTTTTTTGAGCTCTACTCAGAGTAAGACATGGTGGTCTTCCTTCAGATCATTTGGTTCCTAGGCTAAGAAAATGAAGTCAACCTCAGGGAATGTGTTTAGAGCGCCTAGCCAGCCTACTGGAAAAACAGTATCAAACGCCTTTTCTAGCCAAATCGATTCACATCTCAGCCTGTTCTTTCTCAGAGGGAATCAGCTGTTTAGGAGAGAGACACTTCATCCTTTTTCTTTTTTTTTTTTTTTGTGTGTGTGTGTGTGTGATTTTGTGATTAGAACACTGCGCTTTGGTATAAAGAAACATGTTTATGGGCAGACACCAAAACTAAGGTGTACTCCTTTCCTAGAGAAGTATCATCCCAAATGCCCTGACAATTCGATGAATTTTTGTAATTCAGGACACCTTTAATGGAAATCTGTTTCCCCAAAATACATCATATTTTTATCTCAGAATGCCATATCTTATTCCAAGCTATCCATTAACTTCTAATTTAGTCTGATGAAAAGAAACAGATCACTGTCACAGCTCTCAATTACAACAAGATTTTCCCTGTCTCTTTATCCAGTAATTGCAGCAACTGCTAGCCAGAAGACTGGAATCGAGGTGACAAAAATTGACCTAGGATGATGGCAAAATTTTTTCACAGTCTTGATCTGGACTTCCACCCAAATTTCACTGATGAATTTCCTCTGGGATATGGAAAATAAGTATTGTAATATTTTCTCTGTGTCCCAGGCAGATACTCTGATCATTTTGCTTGCATGAAGCATTAGTGGCATCACAAGCACCAACTTTATTAGCAGGATTGTAATAAATGTAGCCTTACTGACCTCGGAGAGAAGCCCATGTACTTGGCTCAGCTCCCTGCCAGACACATTCTGAAGACCCATACAGAGGATTTTCTAGTTCTTGTTGCAGTCCAGCTTGAACAGGGCAGAGGCTGAGATAAGTCACCTGGGACAGTTTAAGGCATACGCAAAGGCGGTACTTTTCAGAATGAATGAGAAAATGGAAGTGGATTTACACACCTAATGGGATTTTGCTAAGAACAATTTTCTGCACTGGATTTTGAACTTAGATCAAATGCAGTCACCAGCATCCTGCTGTAGGCATTTTGGCCTCTAACACACAAGAAGAGATGATGTAAGAGATTGTCAGGCTCTGAGCATTGCACTCCCAAGTGTGTATGCTCAAAGGACTTTTTTCTGTTACAAGTGTTCTGCACAAAATGCAGTGGTGCGATACACTCACTGGCACAAGCAGACAAGCACAAAAACAGAACACCAGAACATCAGGATGGCTGAGACTGGAAGGGCTCTCTTGGCCATCTGGCCCACCCCAGCTCCAGCAGGGACATGCAGAGCAGGAGGCCCAAGCCAGGTGGCTTCTGAAGGTCTCCAAGGAGGAGACCCCACATCTGCTTGGCAACCTGTGTGATGTGATCAGAACTAGGTCTACTCTGTTATGCTGCCTCTGGGTTTTCCCTTATATTGCATATTTAAGTAAGCAGTAAAAGAATCGAAACAGCAACAGCACAGCAGAAGTGAACACACTTCTTGATACCTCCTACCAACTAGCATAAGTACATGCCCCAGTTCCTGCCAAGTGCCAAGACACTAGACATGCCAGTTCTGGGCATTTTGGCTCATCCTTTACACGGTGGATGGACCCAAAGCACCAAGCATGGGGATCCATGTTTCTTTCAGAGGATGGGTACCAGGAAGTGTTGCAATGTCAAGGGCTGAAACATTTCTTCCATTTAAATACTAACAAGGAAAGGTAGAAGCCCTCTTCGAAGACCTGAGCAATTGGCAATGGATAAAGAAATTCAGTGTTTGTGGTCAGAATAGGAAAAGAGAAAAAAATTAAAAAGATCGTTGATCATTTGTATAAGCTTTGGAGAATTATTTGAAGACATCTGTTTTACTAATTTATTATGCTTTAACAGTGGGTGTGCGAACTCTAAAGAGAATGTGAAGATGCTTTCCTTAATGCTTTTAATTATTGAATACTGTATAGTGTTTCTCTTCAAGACAAGAGCAACAGAAAAACTCAGGAACATGTCAACTTACCAGAGAGCTGATTCATGTTTTGTTTCTGAAGGTAAAGGAAAGGGAGCACCAACAGTGACTGAACACTGTATTAGAACTGACTGAATGTGGTTTTACTTCATATTGCAACATTTCATGAGCGTGCACACAGACTATTACGACATCTCAACCAAGAAGCAACAGATTCTTACACCAGATTCTTACACGTTTCATCATTCATGAATATCAGACCAGACCCAGGGTCAGTTTTTCCAAGAGAAGTGAAAAAAAAATATTACAAATGCCATAGCTGTCACAAATGCTGAGCATCAGCAACACAGAGTATATGTGTTCACTACCTACCTGAATGATTCCTCCAAGAAATGAAACTGCTGCTGCAACTCCAATTCTCTGCATTTCAAACTCTGACAGGCCCAAGATTCCTGAATTATTATTTGCAGTGAAATTAGTGCCAATGGAAGGAACAAGACGTTCAACTGCATTGGCAGATATTAAGGAAGTTAAGGCAAAAGTTCCTATAAAAAAAAAGCCACAGATTAGCTACCAATGATTCTATACCCATACAAATCACTAATGGTCTGTTTTTAAAAACTTGACCATTTTGAGTGGAAGTATCCTTTTGGACACTCTTAAGAATTTTTGAAGTAGTTTTAATTGAATTTTTTTCATGTAAGATACCATTTATACATTCAAATTGAATGCATTTGTGTCTATATTAATGCACAGTCATGTAGACACATTAACAAAAGAGTTTGCAACATGACAATTCACGATGATTTGAAGTTAACATAAATGTTTTTGGGTATATGTGTGATGAAATGTTTTTTCCCAATAGCCACAAATGTTCACCATTCAAATTTCTAGGATAATTAAATCATGCTATATACATAGGACCTAGTCCAATATAGTTTGCTGATTCAAGAACTCAACAAATAATCTGCACTCCAATAAATGGAGACAGGCAAGGAAATAAAAAATTGCTCAGAAGGGCAAAGCAAGGTTAATGAAACATTTCATTAAAGATAAAGAAAGATCATAATTCAATATTTAAAAGGACAAATATATCATGAAAGCTCTAAGAGTCTAACAAATGCCCTACTATGTCAGACCAACAGTCCATTTAGCTTGACATTCTGCCTCCAGCTGTGACAGTCAGAGGCATTACTTAGGCAACGCACACAAGCCTGGCCACTTTCTGCAGACCATTCCCTACATAATCCCCAGCATCCTGTAGCTGCAGGGATGTTAGCAAGTATTTTAGATTTTTGTTATGGACTAGCATTCACAAATGTGTTGAATTTCTCTTTGAACTTGATAGTACTTTCTGCCTCTGCAGTGTCCTCTGGGAGCAGGTTCCAGAAGTTTAGCATCTGCTGTGGTATATCTGTTAATCTATACTTGCTTCTAAAGTGATCCCTTATGAGTTTCATTGAGCCATCCATACTTCTACTATAGCAAGATGTGATAAGTACAGTTCTACCCTCATCTTGGGTATACCCCTATTTATCAAACTTCCCAGCACAATTCTTTGGGCACCCACAAGGGACTCCACCATCCTGAAAAATCACCACTGAGTCCTGTTTTATGCTTCTTATCCTACAACTAGCTAATCATTAATAAAAGAACTTTCTTCTATCACAAGGGCAACTTCACTTTTTTTAATAACCTTTGCTGTGCAACCTTATCAGTAACTGTTTGACCATTTTGATATCTTATATTAAAAGTATTTCCTTTTGCCATTTGCTTACTGGCACTTCTATAGAATTCAATGACTTTAGTGAGATGGGATTTCCCTGTACAGAAGTCACACTAACACCTTTCATACAGACATTGATTACACGTAACTTTCAGTGATCTTGTAGTTTTACCGTAGTCTGTAAAAATAAGGGTGAAGTTCAGGTTTGCAGGTACCAGGATTCGCTACAGAGCCTTTTTGCTAAATGAAATCGGAGTGGTAACTCAAAAATCTTGTGGCCTTGTCACAGAATGCACTGGTTTCACTTTCCTCAGAAAGCCATTCCCACCAGTTTCCTTCGTTGCCTACCGATTTTGATGCACTTAGGGAATTTTCAGGCATCCACTTGATCTTCCTCTCCATGGCATACTTCAAATTTCTCTTTTTGGCTTTCCAATCTTCCTACATATGTTTCACCTACCACTTTTCATGGCTTTCCTGCTTACTTCATTTAGTCAATTTTTCCATTTTTTAAGTACTAAATTCTTTCCTATGACAGAAATGTTAATTTTCCTGTCATGTTGAGGCATGAAGGGACTTTTGGAGGATAACTTTTTTTTTTTCTTTTTTTTTTATGACATGACATATATTACCTGGGTTTATAATATTTTAATATTAATTTTTTTAATATTTAATATTTAAATTTTTTATCTAATAAGACTGAACTTGAGAACACTTTATGTAGGACTCTACATTTGATATTATATCACAGCAGAAACTGCCTTCAGACAATCATCAATTATATCAAGAGTAATCAAGAAAAAGATGATTTCTGGCCCAAGAAAAAGGGATTTGTTATTTAAGTGACTGATCTTCACACTGACATAACAGACTCCACTAACAAACATCATTCTTGTTGTCTGTATATGTACACAGAACACCATTAATCTTATAGAAATTGCTGGTAGAAAAAGAATTTCAGTGATGGATGTGGAGAATTATATAGCAGTTGTGAACAGAGCCTTTTTTGCTGCTGTTTGCATATATCTTCTTTACTGAATCTTTTGTTAAAATCTTATCTTGAAGCAGATTCTAATTGATTAAGATTTTAAAATCTTAAAAATTACAGAGTAATAATATAATCTTAAAAATTGGGGAAAAAAAAAAGAGTTTAGGAATTCAAATCCAAAATCCCTTAGTAAATGACATTTACAAAAGAAGTGTAAGCGTAATATAAAGTTACAGTGACAGAATTACCTCGAGTGTATCCTTAATGGGCTTTTTAAAGTACTTAAGCTGGGGGAAAAAAATTGTAAAAGGAAGCACAAAAACATTTAATTTCTGTTTAGTTTTTAGAGAATATTCCTTCCATTGATAACACTTTTTTTTCCAGTTTCATATTTCTGAAAATGTTTAGAGCAGAAAGACACTTACCTGTTGCAACATGACGTCCCATTCCAAATATGGCATATATAATGACAGGGAAGAATGAACCATATAAACCAAAAACTGGATGGACTGAAGAGAGAGCAGCAAAGGCCAATCCTATGGAAAATTAAATGGGGTTACCCCCATGAATTAAGATAAAATAAAATTATTCTGCTTTCAAGTTTTTGAATGTCCATGTTTTAATAAAGGCAGGGGAGAAAGCACTTTCAGTTACAAAAATCTAGACTATAAGCCAACTAATTTACAGTGAGGATCAGAAAGAATCAGGAAGGGTTGTCCATCTACAGTCTTGGTCACCAGTGGAAACTAATAGGTCATGTATATGATCTGTGGCATCAGCTGTCGTGTTTCCAGATTGTCTCCATCAGCCATCTCAAACTTCTTTAATAGACAGTTCTCACAGGAGGAGGCAGCGCCATTCAGTGCCATTCCCCAACAAACAAGGTTTTGAGTCTGCCAGAGCTCCAGGCAGTCAAATGGTTATTTCTTGCATACAGTTCAAAACCTATAATTTTGGTTTGGATAGAGACACTTCAGTTTGCTTTCTTTTAATTTCTTAAAAATAAAATTAATAAAATAAAATAAATGAAATTGTGAATTCATTCTCTTTAGGTGACTGGGTTTTTTCACTCCTTCAGTTGACAACAGTTTTTTTCTGTACATTAAGCTGTGAGTCCAGAAATGTAGAAAGTATTTTAATAGTATTTTAAAACAGATTTTAATAATATGAAGGCATCAAAGACCATCTTTGCCTAAAGGCTTTCAGTGGCAATGTAGAACACTTTAATTCAAGAGCTCCCTTCTTGAATTTGAATTTGAATTTGTGACAAAGAACAGTGACGAGGGGAGCAACAAAATGCTGAAAGCCCAGACAAGTCCAGCTATCTGTAAAGCAGGCCCAGCAGTTCATCAGTAAAACATCATGAGGAGAAAAGGAGAGGGGAGGGTAGAAGAGGAGATACTATAAAACACAAAATTTGGATGCCTTCTTTCAAGCCTTACAGTTTCTTCTCTTCTGCCTTACAGTTAACATGCCTACTCATCAGTTTTTCTTTTTTCTCTTCTTTAACACACTGGTACCATGAACCAGGAAGATCTCTGAAATTACAGTTCTATGCTTGTGTTCACTTGAGCAAGAGATGTAAAAGACAGTTCTGATCCAAGAGCAACAGAAAAGGGTGTGCCTAAGCAGAATAAGACAGCACAGAAGAGAACAGTATGATCCTGTGGTAACAAAAATGAGCAGAGGAAAAATGAGAGAAGATGAAAAAAAAAGAAAAAAGAGACTTTTAAGGCCTGTTCAGCACTGAATACCTCTTCCTTTACAAATACTTTACTAATAAAAATGAAAACAAACAAAAACTTTGTAACTACTTACATAGTACTCACAGAAATATTCTATTCTTGCAAAAGAGCTTATGAAAAACTAATTCGTTTTCCTCTCCAGAAAAGAACAGAGTAAGCAAAATCTGTATAACTTCAGCCATATTTTTATTATAACAAGATAAGTGAAGTGAAATGACATCTCTGTGCGAGATATAAATCTACAAGATTCACCATGGAATACTGAACCAGTTGCCTATTTATCAGCCATATTGGGAAGAGATCAATAAAAGCTGGTTGAGTCAACTGTAAAAAAATTCATTTTCAAATTCAAAAATTCCTGAAACACACACTATGGAACAGTTGCATCATTCCTAGAGAAGTCACCTCTGCTAGTTCTTTAATATGTTCTCTGACTTGCATTTCTTAAGCATTTGTTTTCCACCAGAGATTATAAAGGAAGTGGTTTTAGGTTGAGGGAGGACAGATTAAGGTTGGATGTCAGGGGGAATTCTTTACAGAGAGAGTAGTGAGGTGCTGGAACAGGCAGCCCAGAGAGGTTGTGGATGCCCCGTCCCTGGAGGTGTTCAAGGCCAGATTGGATGGGGCCCTAAGCAGCCTGATTTAATACTGAATGTGGAGGTTGGCGGCCCTGCCTGTGGCAGGGAGGTTGGAGATTCATGATCCTTGAGGATCCCTTCCAACCCTGGCCATTCTGTGATTCTGTGAAGCACAAAAATTCCCTCTTCATTAGGAAGTTGTAACAATTTTGAAAGATATGATTTAAAATATTTTTTGCAGAAATCACGTTACATTCATATAATTTTTAATTTTGCAAATAAACTGTGTTAATTTTGGATCTTGTTTTCAGTATGAATCCATGTGGTTCATTTTTAACAGGTTTTCACTCTAAGAAAATCATTCAAGTGGAGGTGAGCTGTGAAGATGTACAAAACAAAACTGGAGGTTACAGTAATATACCACAAGCTAAGCAAAAATACTTCTGGAATTGGGACCATATTCTCTTTTACTATTCAATATCTCAATTTCTTACAGGCTTAAGAGCAGAGAAGATTGTTTTTTCACCTCAGTATTTACAAGGTAAACAAAGGTTCAGCTACGGTAAAATACTGTCACCATCTAGCTGTAAAAGTCAATTCCTTTCCCCTAGATGTGTTTACTTTGTTTTTATCTTTCCTAAAACATAAAATCAGAATCAGAAACATTTGACAATTTCAGCCTGAGTGCATTTGATCTAGCATAAACTGTACAAGTTGTAGGTAGAGCACTAGAAGCAATACTGTCCTTGATCACAAACACAAAAACATTGCCAGCATCTCAGTTCAACTCTCTGAACAATGCTGAGAGGTATGACATAAAACACCCAAACACTGCCATGTTCTGTGAAACTCTATGAAAGGTGCTACCCACCTAGCAAATACCAGAATCTATAAAGGAATTCTGCTTTGCTCACAGGCTGACTGGGAAATACAGCTTTCCTGCAGGCAGATAATCTGAATATAAATCTGGCCACTATTTTTTTCCTGGATAGTCTTTTTGTATGAATTTTCTAGAGGTGGTGGCTCATTCTCTTGCAGGTGAGGTCACTTCAATAAGGACAGAGCTAAAATCGCAGCTTTGATTCCCATCTTGGCTCTGCTTGTTGGCTTTATTTCTTGTTACTGAAGCACATCAATTGTGTGTAAGAATAGAACAAACATTATAAAACAATTAGAAAAGACTTCAGGCTTTCTAATTAGACATATAATGTTCTAAAATTTCAAATACATTTTCAAAATATAATCAGTCATATATTTCAGATCACTTCATTAATTTTCATATTAAAACTTGCTACAATGCATTCCATATGCTCAATGACTAGTCAAACTCACAAAGAATGAACAATAAGTTCAAATGCAGTACATTAATATTGTGAATCTTTTTATTTTTACTGAATTCTTATCATAAGATAACATTTGTGTGGTGCTTTTTCATTGAAAATCAAATGTCTGGCTAGCACCAGAAGAATAACAATCATGATTTGCCACACTGGAAAGCAAGAGATGTGGTACCTCTACTTGTAACCATCAAATGCAGTTAACCATAGAATAGCGAACTTGATGCAAGTAGAAATAAGCCCATATCCCACCACAGGAGAAAGTTCTCCATGTTTGTTAATTTGATAGTTTCTGCTGACTGCGCTGCTAAAACCAGACCCTATTTCCCATTAAAAAAGCTTTCAATCATCATAATATGAGCAGTGAGTTAAAAAAGAAAAAAAGAAAAAAAGAACTTTGACAGATAAGCAGAGATTAAAGGTTTCGACTTATTTAGGATGAATTTGACACAATATCTGAACATCACAGAGACTTTATAAATTACTGTACAGACAATCCTACAAACTATTGCACGTTGATCAGCCATAATTCATGAAGAGTGTGGCTATCTCCAAAATAAAGTAAGTATGATTTTAAAATATTTTTTTATTTATTTATAAAGAGTATTATTACAGGGAGATGGCTCTGCATCTAAGTACAAATGGAAAACCAAACTAAGAGGTAGCCTTTTGAGAAGCATCAGCAGCATGGAGAAAGAAAGGCCAATCATGACTGAAGAGACAAACCTTAACAGAGATGAACCAGACTTTAGGAAATCTGTGAAAAAGACTCCTACTTGGAAAAACTGCTGGTCAAGGATCTCGGCAGTAACAGTTTTCTTGAGCTCTCTGATCCAGAAGATTAGAGGTGGAGCAATCTCTCTTTCTCCATGGATCAACACTGCCTGGCTTTGTTGGTCTCTGTCCATGGTGCTCAGGCACCTCTCAGTTACCAACATGGCACATCTGGCCACAGTCACAGCTCATCTGGCCACACTAAGACAGGTCTACCTTTCATAGTAGGCTCCAGAGGTTTCACAGGTCATTCAGAAGCTGAATTTACATTTCTAGCATTCTATCAGACCGATCTACATTAGCACATGTAATTTGAAGACATTAGAAATGAAAATATTGCATGCACAGCAACATCGGTTCCTTAATCCTCTGCTGGAAAGCTGTATAAACATGAAACACTGTCCCTCATTTACTGACTAATGCATTACATTTCATTATCAGCTTACATCATTATTTTTTGTATGGGAGAACTATAACAGAGCTCAGATGGACATTTTCTTCCACAAATCACTTATGAACTACATGGATTCTCCAATGCATTTTCTAGGCAACTTTTCTGGTTCTGTTGCCAAATATACTTATTCAATTTCATCTACACATGCTATTTGTATGCCAGATGTATATTTGCAAGACATATCTGCTCCTTAATAAAATGATTAGCTCCAGTTTGTCTGCTCAGAGTGTATTTACATCTATACATTTATAGTCAGAACCTGGGGGGAAAAGAAAAACACAAAAAAACACCCCCACAAAAACATAAGACCACAAAACAAACAAACAACAACAACAAACAGATACAGCTGAGGTTCCTCCATGGAAAGCTGAAAAAAAAAGTTGGCATCATGCCTTTGAAAACACTGGGCAACAAATTCTGGAATGCATGAAGGCAGTATAGTCTTTTTTTTTTTTTAACAAGGTCTCCAGCCAGTGTTTAAGAATTAGTTGTTCAGCAATAAATCCAACTCGAGACTAAATTAACTTTAATTAAAAAATACAAACCATGCCAATCCTCAGTAAGTAATTATTGGACTTGAGGAATGAAAATGCTGGCAGGAATAACAATACTGATTTCATCAGATGCCATGTATGTATTTCGCTTTTAGAAGAAACATGCCTCAAGGGCCCTTCACACCCCCTCACTCCCCAGAAAAACGCAGCCCACTAAAACCAAATTGAGCCAAAGTATTTTTTTCTCATGATAGGTCATAGGAAAGCCAGCTACTGTATAACACTACATACAAATTCTGTATGGAGTGTATCGATGTGCTAGCTGACTATAGAATATATATATTTAAAAAGTCTGATCAAAATTAAAGTCAAAATTTTATAACCACATACTTTCAGATGGATAACTTTTGACTATATGCAGTATACGCAGATGGGTACAACTTTAAATTAAAACTAATGTCACAGTGTTTATGAATGCGGCCAAATATCAAGAACTTAGCAAGATAAAGATGAAACCAGGAATACAGTGAGAGTTTGTGGGATTTTTTTTGTTTGTTTGTTTTCATTTATTTTAGAAAAGCTCTTATGTTAATTTATCAACACACATATCTCAATTTAAGAATTCCCTCTTTTTTTTTGAGCAGCAGGTAACACAAAGTACCAAACTTGTGAAGAAATCTCCTTGTGCATTGTGTTCTGATTCTTATAACTGGCAAACGTGTAATTTACTGCATCTACAATGAAATTATGTGATAAAGACATGCATCATCTTATGATATTTCAATTGGCTGTTTTTAGATTTAAATTCTAAACATACTCATGTTCATTTATAGTCATTTATGTGCGGCAGTTGTATTTAAATGTCTCTCAACTCTTGTACTTACCCATCTGATAAGAAACACAGTCATCTACATTTTCAGCTTTCAACTGATACGTATAAGCCGCTTAAATCTTCTCCCACATACAATCTTTATTTTTCTGATCCTCCTCCTAGCCTTTTCCCACAGAAGTTTGAAGTTACCTTCCATTAACACAAGCAACCAGAATTATATATTTCAGATAAAAATGTATCAAGTCATCACCTTCTTTTCACCTTTAGATCTCCCTAATACTTTCTTTTCAAATAAGCTAATAATTTTCCAGCAGTTTATATAAACTACCCCTAACTGTGTGCATCAGTGCATCTATCGTTAGATTGTGTAGATCTGAAGCAAAACACAGAGCCTTACCTCTGAAATAGGTTGTAGGATCAATCGCTCTCCTATCCATTATTGTTACACATAAAAATATTATTTTATTCCCATTAAAGGGAAATACACATTTATTGCTTGCATCTGGCCCAACTGCATCCAAACTGCAGTCTTGTAACTAGGATGCAACACTACACGTACTACTATCAAATCATAGAACATTATTCCAAATTTGACAGAATCTTTAAAGAGTAAGGCATCTTCAGTTGTTAATCAGAAGACTTAATTTTCATTATAGGACATTATATGATGTCCTAACCACAGTACTCTGCTTAAGACTTCAGACATATCTCTGTCCCCTAATTATATAGAGAACTGACATTCCTAAATAAGTTACATACACATATATACATATTCAAACAGACTATAACTATGAACTCAGCTGCATGACTGGGGGTAAATATGCACTGTCTTTTTCTGACAAACTCAGATTAACATTTTTGCATGTTAAGACCATGGCAGTCAGAGAAGCTTAATGATGGGTTGCAATATTACTTACATGGCTTCTAGATGATAGCCTGTGTAGACAGTATATGAAACAATCCAAAACACAATACGATACATTACACAATAGCAATCCAAAGGCAAAAAACTGAGATGGGTATGTAATTGCATAATTCATATACTGAAAGAAGCCACAAAGGTATTTATTTGACAAGGTAAGACCAAGAAGGATTGGAAAATGGATTAATCAGAGATATACTAACAGCTTGGTAATGAATAAATGATGCCAGGAAAGATCACCTATAAAAGGCCTTGAAACTAAAGATAAATTGCTTAGTGCAATAGAAAGTTAGCACAGACTGTGAAAATGAGCTAAGCAGGTGCATTCTGAACTGATATGTATGGGCTATAATACATGTTCAGGAGGCAACAGAAAGCAGGATGACAGGCTTATGAGACTCAGCTGCATGAAAAGACTACATCATAATGCATCTTAATATTATCATGCAAGAAAACTTAGGAAAAATTCAGGTACTGTTTGATTAAAATATGCTTTTCCTCCGAGTAGATGAAATCCAGGTTACATTAAAAAACACAAGCAAAATTCTGGTGTTAACGTGTCAGGTTAATGGATGAGATACAAGAAAAAAAATAAGACCTATCTTAAACTTTTTTTAAACGCAGTTTATTACCCACAATACCACAATTATAATGACTGGGAAAACACATCACCTGAATTCTACATCTTCTGTGCTTACACCCGAGCCAGTCTCCTGTAACACTTCTCTAATCTAATCAATATAATCTTCTCAGTAACATCAATTAACTTTAACAAAGTCGATGCCTGAATTCATATGAATCACATCTGGAGTGGGCTGGCTCTGGACAGCAGCTAAATATCCCTAGCCTCCTCCTCCCTCCTCTGAGGGACAGGAATCAGAAAATCAAAAGTAAGAGAACTTGCAGGACAAGATAAAGGCATTTTAATAGGTGAAGGAACTCAACCAAACACATACAAAGCAATGTAAAGGCAATTGTTTGCTACCCCCTAGAAGATCAAACATCCCAAGTTTCACTATCTCTTACAACTAGATCTCCATTGATTTCTAAGGAATGCAAGCTTCCTGACAACTACAGTGAAGAACACTGATTATATTTACACAGTTTCATTTTGGAAAGAAAAACAAACAAACAAACACAACATATTAGGAAGTTCTAAATAATCTACTTGGAGACTGTAATTGCATTTGTGTGTATGGGAGAGAAACAAGGAATAAAACAGAAACAAAACTGTACCTACTTCAAAATCATCTTCATCTTGATGGAGTATTAATGAGTTTTAAAAGGGAAATGAAACGCTAGTCTGAGAAGCAAATGGAGAATTTATTTGTTATTTTACAGAGTTGTTTCTCTAGTCTATCAAAAATAGATTTTTCAGAAACGCAGACAAAGTAGTAATTACCAAAACATGAAAACTCAACTTTCTTAACTATCTGTGAAAGTAAGCAGCAAACTTCAAGATGGGAAGAAAATATTCATTATAGATTCTAAGATTATTTTTCAGCCTTAGGTAAGAATAATTTTTCAGCCAGAGTAAGAATAATGATTCTATGTTTGAGAAATGAGGTGTTGAGAAGTGTGTAATTAAGTTATAGTTTTGTGCTCTTGAACTAATGAAGCCTAGTTTCTTTTGTTGGTTTAGACTTGAGCTTGACTGGCTTTGCAGTCTGAGACAATGCAAGCTTCAGCTGAATCTTTTCAGCAATTAGAGTATTCAAAGTTTCCATTATTGGAATTTTGTAATTCATAGGGTCTATTTTCACTGTCCATACAATTTATAGAAACATAATTAACTTGGATGCCTCTTTCTCTGCTGCTGAATTCACAAAAAGACTCTAATATTAAAGGACATGCATAGAGACTGCAGAAGTATTGTTTCAGTAGGTAAGTAGAAGAGTTTGTCAGTGAATTCTGAGACTCATTAATTAAGGTTAACTTGGCATTTTTAGCAGGGAAGAAAACAACTACAGGAACACACAGAGAGGACTACTTGTTTTCAGACATGACTTGGTATGAGCCCTCATTCTTCAGAAATGCCAAGCAGCACATTGTGGTAATGCCATTATTTTCCTTCTCATCTTTCTACCTTCCTCTGTCTTGCCTCCCCTACTTAGGAATTGGATCTGTTGGTTACATGGGATGTTATTGATCAGTATATTCTGACCACATGGTTGAACATGACTTCTTTAGTTATGTTTTGATCGAACTTCAGTAGAAGTAAAAAGGAAGCTTCAGAAGATCCACTTTCTGCAGTAATTGTTCATTTGATAATGATTATATTTTTAATCTGATAGAGAATTTGATTAGAAAGAGTATGCATAACACGTTGTACCTCCTGACGGTCTGCACAACTAAAGACAACTGAATGTTCAGGTAGCATGCCTTTCTCATACACTGTTCCTAGACTCTGCTCCACAGGACATAGTTTCTAGCAAAGGACTAGTTTCCAGTGTGCCACAATAGAATATATTTAATCCTAAATTATGTAGTATATGCTCAAGTAATTTAATTTTCAAGTACCTGATTTGACGATGAATTACTGGGTTGAAGACATAACTCACATTTAGATACCAAGATTTTGGATAATGAAAAACACTAAATGAGTGGTAGTAGCTCTATAAAATATTGTCCAAAATAAAAAGAGTCATAAGAACAGCTATTCTGAACTACCCTATACATCACTCACTGAAAACATTGGGTGATGGTAATTGTAAGGCTTACAGCACTAGTAAAAGAGTTAATGCAGCAAGTTCCAGAGAAGTAAGTTGTGCTCAAGTAACACCGCAAACATGATAAAGTATTTAGGTACCTAGCTCTCCTTTTCCATAACCTAAAATCCTTCTCAAACCTGAGGAAGCAGTGAGGAGAAAGAAAGGAAAAAAAGTCAGTTGGAGGAAAGAGTTTCAATACACTCATTTTGAAAAGTGTAAGATTATTTCTAGCTTTCGTAAAAATAATACAGAAAAGCAGTATTCTTCATCTTCTTTAGATTTTCTCAAATGTATCTCTCACATTAAATTGCTTTTAGTACAAAACTCAAACAAGAAAGTTCTATCGAAAACTACTGGCATTATAAAATTGCTATTTTTCAACATTTCAACATTTCAGCATACTGTTTTAAAAGTTTTAATTACAATTATAGTAAAGGCACATACTAGTGAAACTGGTACTTTACAGCATTATAGTATTAAGTTTCTTAAAGTTCAATCATGCCAGTGCAGATGTTACTAATTACCTTGGAAGCACAAATACTTACACAAGCCAGTTGTTTTCAGCTGCAGCATAATTCAATTAAAGTAGTGCTTACAATTTAACAACATAAATGATAGTTAAGCATAGCCAGTATGGGGAGTTGTTAAGAAATAACATATATATGTATAGTTTACATCAGGGAAGGGATTGAAAATTATCTGAGGCAGACAAGCAGCTGGGATTATCTGAGACAAGTATAAAATATTGCCTAAAGAAGTGACACTACAATGGACATATTGAAAACAGACCAAAGCATTTATTTCCCAGTAACAACCACTTTAGAGACTCAGATAGCTGGGACTTTTGTTTTCTGCAGGTCATTCTGCAGAGTTTTGTTTCTAGGAGTTTTTCTTTCTCTTTTTTTTTTTTTAATTTTTTATGTTTATGAAGCAAAATAGAGTCTAGCTCCACCTCTCTTTGTATTGCTGCTTGACAAGAGAAGTGACAGGTAATGTAATACAGCACTAAGTCAACACAGAAGCAGAAATATGCAAGCTGTGTATGCACACACATTCTCCGTGGTTCATGTCACTGACAGAAGTGCCCTTTTAGTACAGAACACTGTTATCTTTTACTGCTGTACACTGGGCTTCCACAGGTAATAGTGTAATCACAATGATTACTTCTGAGCAGATTTTCTTAAAATGCGGACAACATATAGACAAATTACAATGCAGTTACCATGTAGATACATTTTATTTTTCATGTGGAATAAAAAAATGTGGTCACGTAATTGATAAAATCTTGTATGTAATCACTTGCTGTGTGAACAGAGTTAATGCTTCCTTATTTCTTGTATTCTGAAAAATTGTCAAAGGATCGGATATAGAGGAAGTTTTGGTTCACAGAAAGCTATTCAAATAACACCATGTATTTCCATCTGCATTTGTATATGCATAAGATTCAAGAATTTTTCTTGTATTTTTATTTAGATAAAATCTGCTTTTGATAGATAAGGATACAAGCTGCCCTAAACTAAATTTTAAGATAATATGAACATGAAGAAGGTATAAAATAAAACCAGATAAATCCAGCAGGATTGGATTTCAAGATTTCAGAAGTTTAACTGTACCTTGAGTCACCTGCTGGATGGCCAGCATCATCCCAGACACCATATCGGGAACCAGATTCTCCTTCCAATCATAGACGGGCACCCACTCCAAGATGGGCAGCCGCCTCACGCACCATTCCTTGATATCTTCACAGCGAACGGCCCGGATCTTCCCCCACACCGTTCTCCTTCTCCTCTCTACCCCCGTCATCACCAAAACCCCCAAAAGAAGTTCCTTGTGCAGAAGAATGGGTGGCTGAGAAACCACTCTGATCTGGGTCGTTCTCCAGGTTTCTTCCGAGAATTTGTGGTTCCGAGACTATAGGGGAAAAAATTGAAAAAGAACAACAAAACAACAAACAACACAGAAGCACTCACATTTTCTGCAGCTGTGCTCTCACTATGCTCAATAAAAGCACTTACTAAATGTCATAACTGTACGAACAGCCACGCAAAGCTCTCAGAGCAAAGCTCACATTTTCGGCTCGTCTCCTCTCCTGTCAGTTTGTGGCTCTCCCCCGTCACCTCCCGCTTTATATTCGGGCAGTGCTGTGCTTTTGGCCTCGGTCCAGCGGGAACGTGAGGCACAGCGGGGCAAGCACTCGCCGGGGCTGCGTGGTGCCGGGAGAGGTGCTGGACCTTGGGACATCTCAGGGCTGCTTCAGGGTCACAGCAGAGCCAATGCTGCTCTGAGGTGAGAGATGGGGCTTAGCTCCACCAGCCCCGCTGCCCCTGCGGGGCAGGACAGAGCTCAGTCCACCCAGTAATTTTTGGTCGAGAAATAACTTCTCTCACTGAACATACAGGTACAAAGTGATCAGCGCAGAAAAAGTCAAGCTGTCAACTTACTTAAATGCTTCATTCCATTTGGAACAAGGGCACAGGGGAGCTAGAGAATCTGTACCTCTAGATGCTCTAGATCCCTCAGATCAAAATCTAAAATCCATTACCTGTGTGAAAGTGCCCTCCCAAACTGTCCCACAGTAAGCAATAAAAATAAATACACCGTTAAATATTTTAGTGGTATTTGTATAAATTAGTTTATATGTTAATCTTTAGACAAAGATGAACAAAGCTGAAGTGTCATCCATTCATGATTTTGATATTCTGCTCAAAACACTCATTTCAATTGTCAAGATCTCAATTCTAATTTACAGATATAAGCAGTTTTACAGTCCCTGAAATTATAGAAAAACATTACAAGAAATTTAAAACGGCAAATAAAAATATTCGAATTTCATTTTTAGTCTATTAACTCAATCTCCTGATATTCTGAATCCTGACTTAATTTTTTAATTGCTGGCATTGGTGGTTCTGAAACAAAGCACCAATTTTGGAAATATTTAATTATACATTTAACTTTTCAGATTTAATCAAAGCTTAATATAACTTAATTAGTTTCCTGAATATTACCAAAAATGGTTTCTTATAACATATTTTACATTTTTTTATGCTGCACTCCAGTTTTTTGTATTCTGAATCTTATTATATCTCCCACATTGTATCAGTACAGATCACGGATAATAGATGTTTTTTTCTAGCATGCTAAAGCTTTGTTTAGTTAGTTCGTGATTAAATGATAAGAAATTTTCTTCTCAATCATATTACCAGCATTCCTGATGATGCTGCAAAAAATATAACATAAAATATTACCAAAAAAAAAAAGAAAAAAAGAAAAAAAGTTTTCTGACTGGATGTAGAATCTTAAAATTAATTTTATAAGTTCTGAAAAGAAATGGTTGCAGTCACACTAATGTTTCAAAAACCGCAATTTCTATTCAAATTAAAAAAATAAAAAAATAAAAGAGAAAAAGCAGTAGGGTAAATGCACCACAAATCATTCTACTGTGTCACTCATCTGGTGTGTACTGTTGTATCACTCAAAAGTGGAAAAAAGTGGTTTACCGAAACACAAACAGATCACTTCTGCTAAAGCTTTGATCTAGAATATTCCAGCGTACCTATTCTCTACCCTGCTCATCTTTTAATCATGTACATCCTTTAAAGAGCAGATGAAACGCCACCACTGGTTTGTTTTACTAAACAAAAATACATGTAAATACATTTCTACACATAGATATGTATGTACAAAATGTGACTACTGATGTAAGATGGACTAATCCTAATTTAATAAAAATCATGGTTCACTGGGAGCTATGAATGAGTATTCTGAAACAGGCAGGAAAATGGCACATTATGAAAGCAAAGATTCATGATTAAACAATCAAGATTATAATCCCTAATCTCTGGATTTCTCATGTCAAATGCTGAAGCTGTTTAGGAGTCTGTAATTGAGATTTTCCCACCTGGTATTTTTAGGGTCAGTAAATTTGGACAGTTTTGTCAATCCCAGATTGATATCTGAACTCCTAGGATTAGCCATGTCAACAGACTTTTGTCTACATCCAATAGCAGGGGATGGCTTCTCTCTCTATGGCTGTGTGCATGCATGAATGCAAACATCTCACAACTAATGCTTGAAAATAAACACTACTAATTGGACACAGACAGAATTTCACATGCAAAGTCCTTGGGATGTCCATGCTGGTGTGGTACTTGTGTGGAAATTTGATTTTACTCCAGCAATTGCTTTGACGAGTAAAAGACAGATTGAAGAATCATTAAACCTGAAGTTGATCAACGTCACCGCCAGTCATGGAAGACGTTGTTCCTCACTGTAATTTTGTAATTAATTAAGTGTTCATACCAATGCCACAAAGCAATACATCATTTGCAACAGCACAGACAAAGAAATCAAATTTTTTAAGGGATGGTGGATGCACAGGTGCACAAAACGGAAAACCTCTTTACTACAAAGTAGTGCAACCTTAAGGAATCATCAACAAACTCATCTGTTCTTTGGTAAAACACAGTACCCTAACTGAAACACGTACTGTACCACACCAAACAAACATTTTCACACCAGGTGGCTTTCATTAACCTATAAACCTGTGACCTATAAGCCCCTAAAGTACACAAACATGTCATTCTTTAAACTGTATTACAATGTCTACCAGGACTGTGAGAGCCTGGAAAATACACAGCAGTATTATTCTAATAGTGGATATACATGCAGGGCTGAGAAAATAACTACATAAGTTGAAATTTACAATATATTTAATATAAAAGGAAAAAAAAATGTTGCTCTACAAGTTGGGTGGGCTTCTCACACTTCCTTTAAAACAGATTCACTGAAAAATGGGGAACATTTTGCAAGGACAACCTGAATTTTCATTATTCATTGGCTATTTACATACATGATGCATACACAGAGTTAAGAGGTTTGATCTTATGGCTCTGAACTCAAAGGATGAAAAAAAAACTAAAATAAAAACAGAAAAAAAATATATAAATCCAGGCATCCCACTTCATATGGAAGCAGGCTTTGTAGGAAATCACTTAACCTTTGCTCAAGAAGTGCTTTTAGTCTTCACATAAACTAGCAGGAAAACTCAACTATGAATATGTTTACATGTCCTTCAGAAGTCTTTGTACCTTAGTGCTATGATGGAAATGATGTGACTTGCTCTTTTTAATTTTTCTCAGGAAAACAGATCACTCACTGAATATCTTCCAAGATTAAACCAGTTGGACTTTGGACTAACTAAACCTATGCTCCTGCTGATTAACATCATTTGTTCCCTAAGAACATCTTGTGCATCTAAGTCACTTCACTTCCCCATGGTCTCTCATCTACTGTCATTCGGCAAGGGAAAGTACATGCTGTGAGTAATCAAAAACATATAATGACTGACATCTCCTCATCTTTTTTTCACCAGTGAACCAAATTTCCATTCATTCTTGTCCTCTATCCTATTCTATGATCTCGTTTTGACACTGCTGTCTTTCTGTCATATTCAGACAAAAATAGACAAAGCATTCAGAGGATGCCAGAAAATAAAAGAATAAAAGATGGCTAAAAATCTTGGGTATACAAGCATTGTTTCATTAAGAAAGCTGGCAAAAATTCCAAGGGAAAGTATGTTTGAGCACAATGAGAATGGAAGTCATATTTAAAACAAACAGTAGTATGTATGAGTTTAGATCATTCAAACTATAACTATTATATGATACAAGCTCTTGAAATGGCTGGGAAGGTGCTGAAAAACAGAACAAGACTAAAGTAGTAGAAGACATCCGCATCTTCAGGAATGCATTCCTGGACTTTGAGCATTTATTTAAAAAAAAATAATAATAACAAAGCAACCAACAAGTTAACAACCATATGTTGCATAAAATATTAAACTGGGTCTCAGAAGGTGCAACCCTTTCAGTATCCTGGTCATTACCAATGAAATTTAAGAAACTTCACCTCTAAGATTTTGGTGTCAAAACAAAATACACTCTATGAAGTCCAAAGCTTCCCAATGCGTCTTTCAAAATCAGACAAAATGCTTTTGCTTTTGCAGTTAAGAATACTCCTGACTTCAAATACTTAAACGTGGGTATTGACTGAAAAAGATAAGGTCCTAGCCCTCTACACTAAAAATAATATGACTACGAGTAAGCCAAATCCTGCTCCCTTCATCATGCAGCACACTCAGGAGACACTGTGGTTTGACACAGTGTGAGGAGTCGAAGTTATTACAAGATGAAGGCAAACCTCCAGCCATACAGAAGCCGGGTCCTGACCCACACGGCTTGGGCTCAGCTTTAGGATCTTGTCTACAAATGGGCTTTCAGTGCTCTCTAATTATGCCATGCTATACAAAGCTGTGTGAAGCAACACTGACATCCAGTGTCTTTGTTCGGTATTTTTCTTCTATTTTTGCAAGGCTCAAGAGCACTAGCTGGACCAAATTGTTTCACTACATGATGGTTTCTGAACTGTGTAACTTTAAGTGTACAGCTTAATAATGCAGGATGGTAAAAATCACAGCAATAGAAGTATTATCCATCACATTTAAAATAAATTTACAGGTCAGAAATTAAAGACCGGGTATAAATTAGCAAGTACTGAAACAGGAGCTCCTAGTGCTGAGGTACAATCTGCTCTCAATGAGTCTAATAAATGAAAAATGCAAGCACAGAACAGGCAGATAATTTTACAGTGTGACCATTCTCTTAAATTCCACTCCTGCTCTGTTACAACTGTCTGCTAATAACATGCCACGCAGCTGCTAATGAGGAAAAAGATAGTATGAATGTGAGGTGATATTGAATTATTTTAGAACGTCTAAAATGAGCACGAGATGCTTAACAATGCCTGTT